TAAGAGATCAGTCTTGCTAGAACTTCTTGCTGATGCTGGATGTAGTGAAGACGACATCCGACTGGTAAGGTACCTACTCTCATGTACCAAACTGAAGATTAAAGTGAGGTCTACCGTATCAGGGGAGTTCATTGTCACGATAGGTGCGTTCCAAGATGATAGTTTGTCTGGAAACCTTTTCACCCTGTATTTGGCTGGCGCACTTTATCACCTTCGTGCCTTTATGTCTTATCTAAGACCCAACCCTCCGTTTGCTGAAAACCTGCTACCTCTTGAGTGGGAGTACGCAGACGACGCAGACTTCACAGACGAGGATAAAAAGAATTTGGAGTCCATGTTACCAATATGCAAGGAGATATTGGAGGAGTGGAATCTGTTTGTCAACGAATCAAAAACAGAGTTCACACATATCTATCTGGCCGAGAAGAACGAAGTTGATGACAAAGGAGAGCCACTTCGAGGAAGAGAGCCCTGGAGATCATCTATCTCACTTGGTTCCAAATTGTGCAGCAACGAGGACATAAAAAGACGATGTATTCTGGCAAATCTTGCTTTCCAAACCTACAAGAAAGTTTGGGAACAAGGTAAACGCATACCTCTTAAGACCAGACTTAAGATCTACGAAGCCCAGGTGGTCTCCGTCTTAATGTATAATTGTAGCTGCTGGGCTGCTTCAAAGCAGCTACTGAGTAAACTGGATATTTGCCACAGAAAGCATCTGAGGCAAATCATCAGAATGACTTACCCTAATATAATCAAAAACGACACCCTTTACAAGAGATGTGAAGTGGTTCCACTCAGTGAGCGTGTTGCATGTGCACGATGGAGGATGCTCGGACATGTCCTTCGCAGTGATAACAACTCACCTGCACAGCTTGCATTACACTTTGCAGTAGAGAGTCAGAGTACTAAAAAGGGTAGAGTAGGCAGACACCAGTCGAACTTGCTTAAGACTATTAAATTTGATTTAGGTAGTAGGAACATTCCATTTGTAAATACAGACGATTTGTACAATTTAAGACTTTAAGCCTCTGATAGAGCGGGATGGAAGAAGTTGTTATAGCTTGTGTATCAGTATTTATTTTTTTCTGGCTACTTATCAGATCTTTAGGATGTTCATTTATGTTCTATTTTTGATTTGAATAAAGTTATATAATAATATAGTTTGTAGGTTTATAACCTACCAAGACGCGCGCCTAGTTGTAACAAATATTCTATGAGTATCACCGTTAATATATAGTAAAAAGAGTATTTTACATAGCATGTCTAATTTTCATGAGTTTATTATCGGATGTTCAAGTTTAACTATGTTTATTATGATATTATTATTCATTGTAATATGGCAATAAAATTTAAATTTTGTTTTACTTAAAATTTTGTTTTATTTTACTTATCAGCAATTTTATTAGCAGCATCTTGAGGGGTCCTGTGTGTAGCATTCAATGCCTATTCCACCAAAAGTTGAGAAAATTAAGGGAGTGAAGGTACTTTTCTCTACTTAAATTACTCTTGAGTTGTAGGCAGCCTTTTTTGTTCTTTCATGCTGTCTGTATCTAAGATCTCAATTACGACAATCATTCAGCATAATTGACTGTAGGCTGTTGGGGATCATCCTGTAGCTGGGGGATGTCTGATTGATGAGATGGGTACTCTTCCATACAGCTGTTGAGGATTTCGACTTGAAATCTTCAATTCAACGCTCTGCCAACAACGCTGGCAGAGCAGTACCTATGTGGTGATCTTCTCTCTCTCTCTCTGTTTTGGTCAACGGTTTCTGGCCTCCTAGTGAAGAGGGAGGCCTTCTCGCCGTGCCCACAGAGTGTGACTCCTGCTAGCCACACTCCAGGACTCCCTAAGTATATACAAAAACATAGAATAATAGATATCATCGCAACAGACCTCTGGAGTCTCGAAGCTGTTACTACCTTGCTCAGAGCAAACCCACTTCAGATATTCTTCTTTGGCGGGCAGGCGAGGGACTTCCGAGCATGGTCCACACCTGAATATGTGTCACTATCTGAGATAGTCCTGTGTGGGTCTAGTGTATGATTGTTTATGAACCTTGGTGTATGTCCTAGATGCTTATCCAAATAGATCGTCTCTGTCAAACCTTGTTGACTGTTCCACGAATTTGATAATGTGGTCGAGTTTACTATAGATGAGTTCCTCAATTGTTAGGATGGGTTTACTAAATATCCTCATTCTAGTTGTCATCAGCTGGATGCATTCACATAGGAAGTGTTGTGATGTTTTTGCTTCCCCTGGGCAGTGTTCGCAGTCTTGTGTTTCGAAATTGGAGTTGTTTGCTACCGTCTGGAAGTATGCTAGTGGGCTGTGTCCTGATAGTAGCCATGTTAGCCATCTGATGTGAGTACCTGTGATGTTAATTTTCTTGTACCTGTTTTTGTTGAGGAAAAATGTTAGTGTGGTTTTTCCTTTATCACTGAGTGCCACCTGTTTATACTTCTTGATATGGAGAATGAAGAGGTAATCTTTTATTTGGGTGTTGATTATAGTTCTTTACCGTATACTCCTTCATGTCCTGGAACAAAGTTCTACTCGATGAGAAAACCTAGCGAGTTGAGTTGGTCTGAGATGTTCAGAACGAACCTGGAGTTAAAATTGGTGCTGTTAAGCGCTTTAAATGCAGCCTGGGAATCTGAGAGGAATTTATGATTGATTGAGATCCTAAGTTATCATTAGTCCAGATACTTGCCATGTATAACGCAAATAGCGGGTACGATTTCCTCAATGAACCTGAAGAAGGAATATCTGTCCTGAATTGATACCATGTAACGTCGAGCTTAAAAATGAATCAAAAGTTCGAGTAAATCGTTAAACGTTGTATGTCCTATTTGCATCCCCTAAGCATTGCATTGATGTTTATTCCTGGTCCGGTTAGCTTTGCGTCTCAGAACTAAAGAGGTCCACTATGCTTTAATGAGCTAAGCTGTCCACCAGGGTACTGTAGATCTAAGGGTTCCCCGTGTAATGGGGCAGGCTGTGATAAAGCATCTCTGCAGGATGTCCGAGATGAACTGATTCGAGTGTTGAGAACTTTCGCTGTAGAAACTGAATAGAACCAGTAAGGATGGCAGTCAAACTCTGCTGCTACTAGATGATTGTAGAGCGTCCAGTCACACTTCAATAAAGAGTGTGGCAAAGCTAACCCGGTCCCCTGAAAAGTGGTTACTGGAGGAAGAAGTGCCAGGAATTCTCGTTATCAGTGTGTCCTCGTAGTCAGAGTTGAAATCCCTAATTCTGTCTTATCACGAGCCTGTGTCTAGCCTGTGTCAGCCCTTACGCATTAGCTGTCTTAACTGAAAAGACCTGAAAAGTGGTTACTGGAGGGAGAAGTGCCAAGACTACTCATTATCAGTGTGTCCTTGTAGTCAGGATGAGCGAATTGAAATCCCTAGCTCTGTGGTGGGTGACTTCGATGGGACCTGAAAGCTGAAAGAGAATTTCCTGGTGAATTAATAGCTCTTAGAGCTAGGTATCTGTGTCTAACGTATCGTCATTTGTGTGTGTACTATCTTGTAACCTGATATCTGAAAGAGAAATTTCCTGGTGCTTGGTAGCTGTTATTGTTGACTTCCTGGTTCCCATGGGAACTTTGAGTTGGCAAGTCCCAACCTTAGTACTCAACAAGAGAGCACACCACCCGTTAGTGCCAACCAGGCCACACCACGTGGAGGTTCGGAGAGGATTTCGTGACCCATGTGGTGATCTTATTGAAGGATTTAAGGTTATAAGTGGCAGATTATGGGGTGTGTTTGTTTGGAATGAGCAGATTTGGTCTAAATTTAGTTTTAGAAAGAGTGCTGCTAAAGTAAGGAATCTCCAGAGTTCATTTTTTCCAGAGAGAGTTGACGTCTAAAAGTATTGTAAATTAACGTTATTTTTGGAATGTTTCGAATGAAGTATTGCCTGATTTTGATCCAAAATTTAGATCATTGTCAATATACTAATACAAGCTAACGTAGCAGATTTTTATTTTAGATAATGAGTTAAAAATCGATTGTTATTTTGAACACACAAATAGTTTTGTTAACGAAATCTGTCTTATCCCAGCATGGCATTTAGAAGCATCGCTGCACGCTCCGCTGCTCTTTGCAGAAGAGCTTTGGCTACTGAAGCCTCCGGCACTACCTTTCCTTTGACATTTGGTAGCCCTTACAATGCAGTACATGACAACGCTCTTGTAAAACAGGTTGACCTGCCTTCAACAACCGGTAAATATGAGATATTACCATATAAAATAAGTATTGCCCCAGTATTTGAAGTTTTTATTATGTGATCCTATGATTTTTAACTGAAAAATTGAATATTATTTCAAGACTCAAATACTGTCACACATGTTCAATGTTCATGTTATTCATTTTGCAGGTCACTTTGGAATCCTGCCTTACCACGTTCCAACTATTGCTATTCTCATCCCTGGTACAATCTCCATTACTAATGAAGCTGGTGATGTAGCTAAGTACTTTGTTAGCAGTGGAACTGCTACAATTCACCCTGACTCCTCCGTCCAGATCCTTGCTGAAGAGATCTGTGCTGTTGCTGATATCGACGATGGTGCCGTGCGAGCTGGTCTTGAGGCAGCCCAGGGCAAGCTTTCTTCTGCATCCAGCGAGGCTGACAAAGCTGCGGCGCAGATTGAGATTGAGGTTTATCAAAGTATGATATCTGCCGCATAAACTGTTCTGAGTCAAGTTGGTTAAGTTATTATATGATTTAATGATACACTAGTGGATGCTATAATTTTGAATAATCTGAGTATGACAAGATTTCTAAAGTTGCTACTGTCTTTTATTGATTTCACGAATTGTTTACAATGAAATTGTATTTTACTTGCATTGATCATTACAGCATTTATATATGTTATATAATATCTCAAGTCAATTGTCAATTAATATCTGCAAATTATTCATATTTCTGATTGTTAAAGTTATAATAATAATGTTCCATTAATAAGACAGGTAACATGCAATATGCAGGCATGGTATGTTGTGATGTGACCTGACAGCTTGAAACACAGAGAAGACTTAGCGGTGAGTGATTATCATATTGCTTATCTGAAAGCCTCTAATCAGCAAAACTTTGTAGATTGTTGTTCCTTATTTTTTCCTCAAAAATCTTGTTTTCATTTTCTCAATGTACATTGCACAATGCACATCTTTAAAAATTTTCTGCATTACATTCGTTACAAACTTTTCTAGATCTTAAATGAGCACATTTTTCAGATGACATCGATTTTAGCACAACAGGAAGACACTGGCTCGATACTAGTCAAGGTACAGGATGAGTTACGCCACCTCCGAGATCAGCTGACTAACTCTGGGGCTGCAGTGGACATTGAGGCCATTACATCAGCAATAGTGAGGACTGAGAAAGCAGTGCAAGGTAAAGCTGAAGAATTGTTATCAGCTCAGCAAAACCAAGTACTTACGCTTCCAACATTAGCCCATGTAAGTCAACATGCAATGCAGGTTCCCGCAAAGAGAAGTAGCAGTGTCTACTACAAACAGAGATATAGTACTAACTTTAGTGTGCACAAAACCCCCGGCCAAGTAGTTAAAGACCAGTTAATTTCACGAATGATAGCAGCTCCAATGCATCAACCTTCTAACCAGATAGCTAGACAGATCATACAAGAGCAATATGGGGTCAGCAAGCCAAAAGAAAAATACCCTCTTCCCCCAATTTCTCCTCCCAAACCAATGCTAGGTCCCACAATAAAAGGTTCACCTCCACTTCCCAAAGCAAACCGTCTCAACCCACGTCTAACTCCCCCAGCTATTACTGAGAGAGATGCTAAGAAAGGTATATTGAGTCTGTGTGAGAGAGGTCTGATACCTCCTGCAGCTGAGCTCACTCTGGAGCCCTCTCCCATAAAGCACAAACCATCTCCTCTGCACCTTCAGAACTGCAATCCAATGGGTTTGGAGAAAATAGCTGATGCCAGAGAGTTGGAGCACACAATGGTGGGGGTACAGTTAGATATATCCGTTCATGAACAGGATGTACCCATCGTGTATCCCAAATCTCAAGCAAGCAATGTCACTGGTCCTAGAGTGATAACTGCTAATGTTCCCACCAGAGGTAGGTCAGATGCCTCTACTTTCAAGATGGGTAATACCCCTCTCTCCCAAATGCGTTCACAAATAAATTCCCAAATGTCACCTCATCCTCCCCCTGTTGGACCACCTCAGACTCCAGCCCTGGCCATGAGTAAGTCAAGGAAGTTCACTATTCAAGGTGGAAGAACGGTGTACGATAACTCAGACTTTGAGGATTACCGTAAAGATTACGCTGCCCATTGGAGCCTGATTTTACCTTGTCTGCAAGAGCTGGAGCTAGTCTTGTCTCAGTTTGCTATCCCAGTTGCTGTTGTGGACGGTGAGAATTTAGTGAGACTCGCTCTGAGCTATAAAATGAACAACAGGCCAACTGTTGCCGAACTAATTGACTGTTGTACCAACCAAGCGTCCATTCTGAATCTCATGGGAAGTCCTGGACAAATTTACAAAGGACCACAAGGATACGACCTGGCAGCAGCTAAGATACAAGCTACGTTTAAAATGTATCTTGATAGGTGCAAGTATCTGGTGTACCGACAAAGTAAACAAGCAGCTGGTATTATTGCTATGAACTGGATAATGGTAATGAAGATGACGACCATCAGAAGTAGACTCAAGACATCTAGAGCTCTTCATTTGATGAAATACAGGGAGAGGCTGAAGGAGTTGAAAACTAATTGGCCTAAAATACAGCAGAAGAAAAGAGTAATAATTCACATCCCCTCGAGGGGATATAATCAGAGTATACGTGACAGCTTAGTTGACTACCACAACTTACAGAACAGCCAAATGGGCCGGATTTGCGATGTGAACGATCCGAATGTTGAAGTTATCTACATTTCACCGATTGATCTCGACAATGACATGCAGCAGTATTATCAAAAGCTTCTGGGAATGGGAGTCACTTCTGAAGCTGAGAACGTTCCAGAAACGGAGGCCAAAGTAAAGTTCATTGTACCCGATCATCTGGATGCATTCCCTGGACTCAACTTTTGTCTGTCCACCATTCTCCTGTACTCTGCACAAACTCTGAAGAGGCTGAAGAGGTTGATTGCGGGAAAGGAAGCATACATTGTGCCGGGCTTGATGCACCGAGATGACATGCAGTTGTCAGAAGTACTCAATGTTCCTGTAGTCGCCGCAGAACCAGATGTTACTCATTTGTACTCGACCAAATCAGGAGCCAAGAGAATATTTGCTAACGCTAACGTTGCTGTACCTCCCTCAGAGTTTGATATTTACACTGAAGAGCAGTTGTTTGAGTTGCTTGCTTCACTGATAGCTGGTAATCTTGGAGTTACCAGATGGGTCTTTAAGATTGACAGTGAGTTTGATGGCAGAGGGACAGCATACTGTGATATCACAAGTTTTCTCAGTTGCCACAAATGGGCTCTGAAACAAGCCGAAAGGTACGGCTCAAAATGGTCTAAAAGATGGGCCCAAGAACCTACAACTATCAAGATTTACTCAGAGCTCCCCGAGATTATCTACAACCATCTGAAGATAGTGAACTCGACCCTGTTCCCCTCAGTAGACAAGTTCCTGGTAGCGTTCACTAAATCAGGTGGTGTGATTGAGGCGTGTCCCCCGGCAGATGACGTCACGTGCATCACAGTGGACATGTTCATCGCTCCTACCGGCGAGGTGGAGATCAAGAACACAGGAGACCAGATCAGAGCCACTGAGTTCCAGACGTGGGCACTGTCCTCCCCTCAAACATCTATCAGTCCGGAGAGGGTACACAATAACAGTATCTCTGTAGCAAACGCGTGTTACGAGAGAGGCATCATTGGGTACATCTCTGTTGGTTATGCTACTTTTATCGATCCTGCTTCAAATGATCAGGCCTTGTGGGCTATAGATCTCAAAGTTTCCTACACAGACACGATGGCAATGGCAAACGTTTTACAATACGTCTCCGGAGGTCGCTTTGAACCATCAACAGGACTCTTTAAAATCCCAGCCTACAAAGTAATGCCCAAGATATCATCTCGTTTCAAATCTCCAAAAGAACGCCAACCACCAAACTACAGGTTCGCAATCCTAGCTCCACGCCTCTTCCATACTAACCTCTCCCTGGTTCACTACAGTGTTTTCTTCCAGATGTGTAGGGCTCACCATATTGGGTACGATATCCGGGAGAGAGAAGGGTCCATCTTCACTCTGATAGACAGCTACAAGCGAGATCTGATCGGGATGGCAGTTGTTGAATCTGATCTGGTTACTGCCATGAAGACGTTCCATAGGAACCTGTCTGTGGTACATCAGGAGATATCCTCAGCCAACTTGCCAGGCAAGAATAACTTTAACACGCTGATTATGGAGGTTGATAAGATCATGGCCTCCCTGGCTGTAGAGGAGCCTGCTGCTCAGGAAGCGGTGGAGAGTGAGGAGAAGACTGAACTTTAGAGTTGACTGATGTTACTTTCTTAGTGCTAGTGGTTATAAATACTGAGTGCCCTCAGTAAATTTTTAATATAGTGATATTTAATCATCAAAACTCAAAATCTGTGGTATTTGAAGAAAGTTTGGTTTTTAAGGCATAGCGGTTGCACTGGGTTATATTAGATGGTAATTTATTGGTGGTTTTTAAGCTCTGTATAAAACATGGCAATGGTAAGAAAATAGTTTAAATAGTTCACATTTTTGTAAATATACAAGTTATCATATCTTTTCTAACAGCAATTATTTTTTCACACTCACAGCATGATTTTAAAGTTTTATTTTTGAATCTTCAGAGGGGAACATGTTTTGGGTTTATTGGTTTTGGGATCAGATTCAGATGTAAATAAACACGTTTTCTATAATAATAATAATATATTGTATAAAGTTGTGTATAATCTATGATAAATTTTAAAATTCAGATTGTAGATCATGTGATTAGTCATTTAAATTCTCTTTAGATTAGATATAAAAAGAGTATGATAATGTGAAATGATAATGATACGATGATGTGTATTGCAATTAGTTATCTCTAATGAATTCTGTATAGTTTTATTTAATCAAGGCCAAGGTGCTAATTTGATTAACTATTTTTGTCTTAGCTTAGGCATCAATCAGTAATCGCTTTATGAATGCCACTAAAATCAGCTAAGTTAAAATTCGTTTTCACCTGTTTCACTCTAAGAAAATATTGATTTTGCTACATTCTCAACATTCTTTTAGCGAAGTATGGGCACATTCACAGACTCTCGTCTCGTCTTCCAAGCGGAATGGTATGACCAGAATGCTGAACTAGTCAGGAGGTATCAGGTCATGTTTTATCCAGTCGATAACACCGTAGAAATGTTCGATGTTAAAAACAGGTTTGTTAGTTTAAAACCTGTTAATATTTAATACATTTAATACAATATACATACATCAAAAGTTCGTCTTATAAACCAAGATTCCCTGGTAAGATGTGACATCCAAACGAAATTGAACCGTTCTTTACTGGAAATAGCATAAAATACCACCTGTCCTGACAGAAAAACCACTAATAAATATAGCAATATTACATTATAATAAAATAAACACTAATAAATATAGCAATATTACATTATTATAATATAAACACTAATAAATATAGCAACACCTCATCTCCAGGAGGTTGTTCCTCAAGAGAAGTGCTGTTCCCAACATCACAGAAGACAAGCTCTACATAGGTTCTGTAGTTAACGTTAACTCCCGTCAGTTAACGCTGACAGGGTATGGTGATAACTTTACAAGTAACACTCTGGCAACAAGAAACGAGAAGACCCTGGCTATTATTAAACCTGATGCTGTTGGTAAAGTGGGCCCCATATTGGAGCGGGTCTGCAAAGAAGGTTAGTTAATTAATTGATTAGTTAAATAATCAGTTAATTATACTGTTACAAAGGCATCAGCCTCGCTCCTGTTTTAGAGATGTAGCGAAATAATGATTTTGAAAGCTCTTGATGTTTAGAACGTTACTGTTTGTTTAGAACGCCTAAATTAAGTTGTGAGATATTAACGATTCCTAATTAATTAATTAAAATAAGTAATTAAAACACAGGTATAAAGTTTTGTAACGCTAAGATGGTGAGTATGAGTAAAGTAGACGCGGCTGCATTCTACGCTGATCACGCAGGGAAGCACTTCTTTGATGAACTGATAGAGTTTATAGTATCGGGGCCCATAATAGCTCTTGAGTTGATGGGTGATAATGTTATAGCCAGATGGAACCAGATTATCGGACCTAGCAACGCTTCTGACGCTAGGAGGTGGGTACCTTATTTCCATTTTTTCCTCAGTTTCTCTCTTTAACAATTTTGATACCTAAATCGATGTAAAAGGATAACATTCACTTCGAAATTCAACTAAACAACTCGTATAATCCTCAGTAAGGTGCCCCAGAGTCTACGTGCATTGTACGGCTCTAACGGTACAGCTAACGCGTGCCACGGGTCTGAGAACCCTGGAGCGGCTGCTCGAGAGATAGACTTCTTCTTTGGAGCTGGACGGAGTATTTCCGGAACAGCCAGCCTCAAGGGCACCACTCTGTGTTTAGTCAAACCTCATGCTATTGAAAATGGAAACATTGGAAAAATTATCAGCATGGTTCGTATATTTTATAGTAATATTATGTACCATAAAGCTAAGGAATGATTGCCGAGCTTGCTGTTGAAATATCGAAATCAAATCCAATGGGGCAGAACACTTCTTATGATATAATGTATGTTATTATTACTCCACAAATACATGTTTAAGCAATATCTCTCTGCTTTAAATTTATAATAATCTTTAACCCTAATTTCGGACCCCTATTTCAGATAACCGATAACGGGTTCGCTATCAGCTCCCTAGAGATGTTTAATTTAGACCGAGCTAATGCTGAGGAGTTCCTTGAAATCTACAAGGGAGTGGTTACTGAGTATAGTCAGATGGTTACTGAGCTGTGCAGTGGACCTTGTCTTGCTATTGAGGTAACAGTATTAATTGTTATTTCTTACCTGAACCATGTGTTTGTTTTTCTTGGTGATTTGTGTTTATTATTTTATCTTGTTACAGACATTTTACAATCGAGTTTTTTCTTTGGACTGAACTTTTTTACTAAATAATATGTACTTCAGATTGTTGGTGAGCACAAAGAATTCCGAAATTTTGTGGGACCAGCAGACCCAGAAATAGCCAAACATCTCCGACCCCAAACAGTGCGAGCTAAGTTTGGGCAAGACAAGATCTTTAACAGCATTCACTGCACAGACCTACCCGAAGATGTGGGACTGGAGATTGAATACTTCTTCAGGATTCTCAGCCAATGAGAGGCAAATGGGAGATAGTAACAACGAACCAGAATCTCCGCCAGAAAACATTCGTTCGGCAATACTAGATGTTCTGTTAACTACAAGATGTTGTGATCCTTGCAGTGCAATGAACAAGTTTTTAAACACTCATGTCGCTCCAAGATAATATGCTTTAAATTAACATGTGTGCATTTGTAAGTTTCAATTGCTTGCCACCCGCGTGTAAATATATATTATGTAATATATTATAATGTGCAGATTTCAGATAGGTGCTAGAAAGTTCCACCCTGATGAATGTCCATGTCATGGCTCTGATTGCTTAAATGTTATACTGTAGCGTTGAATCTTACTTTAACGGGAACAGAAGAGCAAAACAATTTTACTTGCATACGGTGTTATAATCAATTTATTTTGCAGAGCGAATATAATTCAGAATTTTATACAGAAGTTTCGCATGGTTTAATGTGTGACTCAATATTTTGATACATAAATCTGTAAATAATATTATATGTCATTACTCATTGTATAATCATATTCATCAGATGTAAATAATAACTTATTGCATATTAAATTGTGTCTTAATTGTATTAAAATTATCTATGTATCATAGATAAAGCACCAATTCTGCAAAATTAAATGATGCAGAGATCGATATATTAGAGTGGATAAGTTATATAGTTTAAAATTGTTGCCATGAAATTTTAACGATAGTTTATTTAAATTGTTTGTGTATAATTTGCATTGCAGTCAGGTAAATGTAACACTTTGAGCTGGACCTAACCTGGCTAAAGTTTAAACTCTGTGATGGTTGTATATTTAGATGACAGACAAATTCCTAACAGATGAGGTATGTACGGTGTGAAATTATTTTGGTATTTCACCACTACGCTGCATTTGGGAAACGCGTGCAACTCGTTATTATCTTTTAGACGCAAACAATCAACTATTTGCATTGCTTTTTTGGCAAGTTTGTTGAGATTCCAATTATTTAACATTTCACTTCCTCCCCACTCGTAGCAGCTGATAAACCTTTCCACCAGGAGCTGTGTGAGAACTATGGAGTGGGATACAGTCTCATGGTAAAGATGGGTTGGACAGCTGCTTCACACCCGTTACCACCCGTCTTTACTGATCTTAATAGAAGTTCCAACAGTGAAAAAAGATCTGGTTTTGGTTTTGTCAAGGAGGAGAATAGAAAGCTTGATTTTGAGGTATTTTTAGCTGAACGGTACAATCCTGGCAATGATAATTTTATATCAGTCCACTGACAATTGACATACGTTACAGCGACATCTTTCGAATGTTATTAATTGAAAACCATTCCTTCAGATTTGACTGTGATATTTAAGCTTATTTTATTTTCAGTTTGAAGACATGATGGGGAAAATGGCTAACTTGACAACGAAAATGCCCAACTCCAAATCTAAATCACTTTCAAGCGGGGAAACTAAAGTGAAGCAGATTATTTCAGCGAAATCTAAGCCAGGAGAAAGTTCGAGACCCGAGAAAATTCCTTCACCTAATGTTGTGGAACAGACGATAGAGGATCATTCAAAAAGTCCAAAGCGCGGTGAATTCACAACCCAATGTTTATGGAATGATGTGACTGAGCAATCGGGTGCTCCTGAGGTTAATCGGGGTTCGGTAAATCCGAAAATTATGATGAAGATAAAGCAGAAAAAGGTTCTAAGAAACAATCTCAGTGTATTTGAATGAATAGAAACCGGGATAAAATATTTTGGGCCTTGACACAAGAATGCTTAGCACGACGAACTGTACTGTGGACAACTTACCCTGCACGATTCTTCATTTTTGGAAACGCTTTTATGTAACGCGCGGCGTCATTTCGGTGATAAAAGCAAATTGCCTCTCGCAATTTTAGCCGATTTTTGGAAATTTTGCGATTATCTTGGAGACGCCTGGATACGGAATGAAGACAAAAGCTGATCGTATTTCATTGGACGATTCCCAGTTCATAACTTTCTTTTGGAAAGCTGTTGAAGACTGAATGTTTGATTCTGTCGTGTATGTGCAGCGTATACAGTCTCGTTCGCAGTTCCGTTAAATCAAAATCCGTACGAAAAGCAGATAAGTCTTGCAAGAAACAATAAATAAATCGCAGTCTGAACTCTGGTGAAAATTTGCTGAAATGAGAAAAAAAGTTACGTACATCAGGAATTTTTTTGCAAAAAATGTTGTTATTGCTGATAAAGGAGTTATAAGAACCTGGGAAATTTACCTCATTTCCTTCATCCTTGTTTCGATGTCAGTCATAACATAGCCAGTAATAACACTAATGGTTTGAAAATGACTAAGAATCTCGAACTCTCATGAGGCTGCGGATTACAATCGGAAGACAGAAAGCGACAGACAGATCCAACAGAAAGAAGACTATGATGAAGACATATAGGATTTTGTATTTCGCATTAATCTATTGAATATGTCCGTTATTTTCACAACAAGAACAGTAATTTTTGATTTTTTTTGTTCATAAGGGGTCGTTCACATATTACCTAATCAATATTTTAGCAATTTTTACCCCCCCCCCCCCCCCCCCCCCCCCCCCCCGTAATCAAGACCCATGAAGTAATCGCAAAGCGCTTACTAAACGAAAATTGGTTTAAAAAACGAAAATTTTGATTACGTCATCAACGACCAAACCCCCCCCCCCCCCCCCCCCCACCCCCCCGTTATCAACCGTAAGCATTTGGAAACCCCCCTCTGATTGCGTAATATGTGAACGACCCCTAAGCTTCTGTTAACTCCTTAGCATAATTTGCTTGAAGAAGTTTCACATAAATTGTTTTCACGATTAAATTTAATTTGTTTCTAATTTAAACAGTTGTATGGGTTTAAGATTCAAGTGTTTTAAAAATTATTTTATAAAATATGATATCAAAAATGATGTTTGTTCTTGAAAATATTCGATTTTCATTTTTATATAGTCCTCAAACAGATGAAACTAATAATAGCTATGAAGCCTCCGTTAACCAGTCTCTTCTTCGCTGAACTTTGAGGGATCCAGCAGGTGCCATCTGAAAATAATTCATAATTATTGTAAATTGTAACAAATATTTCGTTATAATATGTACAGGATAAGCAACAAAGCATTATATGAACGGTGCAAAGTTGAAAAGTTATCCAAGCGTATTGAACACCAGCGGTGGAAGATGTTTGGACACATTCTCAGGAGTATGGAGAACACCCCAGCCCAAACGGCTCTCTCTTTTGCAATTGAATCAGATAATTTATTCATTGGTAGATTGGGGAGACCTAGAATAAACTTGTTATCGGTTTTAAGAAGTGATTTAAGTAATAGAAATTTGCAAATGGACAACTTGCATGAATTGAACGAAATTAGAGATATAGCTGCATGCAACAGATGTTGGGAAAATCTTTTTCAAGGGTACAGTTTACCGCATTAAGGTATTTTTAAGAATCTTAATCATTTTTGTCGGTAAGATCCTGTTTTATAATAATAATAATGTACAGGAGACTGGAGAGGAAAATAAACGAACTGTAAATAAACGAACTGTAACTAAAAAAGGCTAGAAATTAAGCTAATACTAAAACTAAGATTTTAGTCTACCCACCGTCCAATAGTTGTCCTTTACATCTTTTCTCCTCTGCTGAAGGACAGTCCAGTTCATCCTCGCCGTTGGAACAGTCCTCGTATCCATTACAAACCCAATTAGGAGCTATGCAATGAGTCGTGCTGTTACACGAGACCGTGTGCTCTATATTGCTGCTCTTGCCTGAGGAATTTGAAGTGTTAACCACCCCGCACTTGTTCAGAGGCCAGTAGTGATGTCTGCACATGTTGCTGCTGTGCTGCTCGTACCCGCTCGTGCTGAACTTATTTCTTGTTAGGATTAAACCTCCAATGGAATTTTTCACCCAGAGTGGATGCACTATCACAATGCTGGCAAGCATAACCGTTGCCCTTATATTCACAACACTATTTACCCCCTATACTATTATATCCCCTTTATTGTTTTCCAGGCATTAAGACTTCATCGAAAGTAGTTCAGCAGGTATATTTAAGTTCAAAACATTCTAATTCAATGTTAAAGATGACAGGAATAAGAAATAGTTATGTGGAGGTTTTTAAGAAATTTGCGCAAAATACGCGCCAGCATGTTATACGAAATTAGGTAAAAAACCCAAAATCGCCATATTCAGGTGCCTTAAAAACCATGTTAAAATTGAGTTAGAGATCTGAAACTTTGCAGGGCGTCTAGACCTTGTCCAAGTCGACTGTAAAAAAAATTTCATGTTTCAGGAGTATCGGGAAGTGGGTTTTCTGGAACCCCTGTTTTACAACAGATTGTCGTGAAGGATCACCTTAATAACACCAGAATGTGTGTGTGTGTGTGTGTGTCTGTCTGTCTGTCTGTCTGTCTGTCCGTGTGTAATTTCCGGTCGGTTATACAAAAAAAACGGTAAGAGTTACGGGACTGATTTTTTCGGTATAGTGTCGACAAAACTCTGATGAAGCCCATAGGAAATTTTTTTTAAAATCGGCCGATGGTAAGTGGTTTAATTGATGGTTTTGTACCACAAATGTTACATAAAATTGCGTGAGCAGAACGGCAAGAGTTACGGGGCTTGCTCTCTCTCTCTCATTACTGTGTAATATGTTATAGCTGCATTTAAGTAGCGTCATAATTGGATTAGCCCTGGAAGATTCGCTGTAATGTTATACCTTAAGCTTATTAGGGGAGGGGGGACTGTTAGTGTTTGGGGTCTGTTTGGACTGCAGAGAGAGAGAGAGAGAGAGTTCATACGACAATGTTATGCGTGTTTTCAAATATAATATGCGGGTGTGGTGCGGAGTTAACAAGGGTTAATTTCTATAACGATTTAAATAAAATAGAAAGCGGTTCAAGACGGGAGTGATGAGGTGTAATACTCGGTGTTCAGACCTTATGATCATGGAGTGTGGTGCCTCATGGCTAATAATGACTTAATTATCCACAAGAAATAACTGATTATGAGATTATTGTTTAAGAAACTATTGGGTCACCTAATGCGGGTTTTGACTCAGCGGGTAATTACTCCTACCCTTTTTAACTGCGGCAGTGAAATCCCGGCCGTAGGCCGGGTTACACTAGTATATATATATGTATGTATAGACGCTTTGGCAGTCAATTGTAGCCTACGTTTAAGTGTCCGTAGATTCAAAAGTATAAAAGATACAGTCATTTAGAACCACAGGTTTTAAAGATAATCGTTTATACTTTAGTTTACATTATATCGAAAAATAATTTATCGTCATCATCATCACTTGATGACGTCATCAATTTAAGTGTTTTTAAAACTTGATTTTTGACAAAATAACAACTTTTCAAATCGATTTTAAACCATTAAGAAGTAATTTTATTCAAAATCTGAGGACATTTTCATCTTAGATAATTGTTCAAGCATTCTGAAAATCTACCGGAAAAGTTTCCTACCTTACTCCTTCATAAAGATATTTGCTATTGAAGTTAGTGCTTTTTTGAAGAATAATTTTATAAAAACACAAAAGTTGTGAATTAGTATTCTCTGGTGTTGGACCATCCCTTGGGTTGTGGAGCTCAATTTTGCTTCTTAAAGGTCTAAATTGTGTTATAGGCTAGTTTTAAAGTTGAAAATCGAAAATTTGCACACGTGGGGACACGCCCAAATTGATTTAAAATAGCTTATATCACTGAAAATTGTTATTTTCACGATTTTTATCAACTTTGGAGTCCCGTTGTGATCCAAGTTCTTTTTGAAATCTTCTGAAACTTTGCATGCTTATCAAACTATATATTAAATACCACTATACAAAAATTTACGATGATTCAATATTGTATGCGCACGCAACGTCCGCTCAAAGTTTGCACGTGCGAAAGGTGAGAATTTTGCTCATTCGTGATTTCGAATATATTCTGCTTTCCACGATATTTAAATGGCATTATATATGAATTAAATGCCAACTTGAATGAGTAAGAAGTGCCATATTCAGTCTGTTATCGACAGATATACCTACCTAAACACAAGGAAATGTTTTCAAAGGTAAAATTTCGAAATCGTTGAAATTACCTCCTTATTAATGAAGTTTCGACTGCTGTGTAAATTATCCTGACATTATAATCAAAAAGAGATGATATTTGACCAAAACCCATAATCATGGGTAGAGTGAACCGCTGCCAGTGTCTCTCTTTTCCAAACAAAAGGAAATGATATTAATTTGAGGAACCGTCCGCAAATGCAAATTGATACCGAGAATGAAATCGGTCGCTCGCTTTTCCATTCGATCACGGCTTACGAATTGTAATAAAGCTTATTGAGTGGGAAAAGCGAGCGACCCATTTCATTCTCGGTATCAATTTGCATTTGCGGACGGTTCCTCAAATTAATACCATTTCCTTTTGTTTGGAAAAGAGAGACACTGGCAGCGGTTCACTCTACCCATGATTATGGGTTTTGGTCAAATAAGTATATACATATTAAAAAACTCAGTCAATAATTTATTTGTAAGAAGCAAGTATTGAGTCTTCCCATGTGAACTTACAGTAAGAAGAATTATCAATCTTGTCACACATGTTTTCCATCTGATAACCCTTGCAAAACCCCTCATCAGTGCAGTAAGGCGTGTCGGTGGATTCAGTTCCGTTATTATACTCTGCTGCACAGAAATCTGAAGACGTTTACGTCGGCTTTAAGTTCTAGTAGTTTAAATGTATCATTGATAGAATACAAGAAGATGATTTCACTGATATGCAGTAGCCGTATTGGCCTTGCACTATTTATGATTTACCTGTGTTGGTGTCATTAGAGATGGTGGAATATTTGGCATCTAGTTTCCAGAAATTATCGAACCCTATCCGCTGTATCCGCCATTCTGCACACACTGCCCAGGTCCCATTATCGGGAAATGTTATATGCACGCCTGTAGAAGATAGAGATCAATTCATTGGCGGGAATATTTGCGGGCGCCACGATATATATTAGCTGAATACATCACGAAACATGGTCATCTTCCAGTCATTAGATTTTTATCGTTTATACCAGTCAGCACAAATAATTTAATGTGGAAGTACTTAGTACAAATAAGGTCTCCGGAAAAAGTACCATTGTCTGTGACTCTAATGGTGATATATCTGAAGTCCACCTCGGTATTGGTAAGGTTTGTACTGGAGAACTTGATGTCGTTGTCGCAGGTAGCTGGTTGTGCGTTGATCTGTACCCAGTATCCCTCGTGCTCGCTTATTATTATCCTACCCACTTCCTTCATCTCCATTGTGTAAAGCCACATCTGCCAACATATTTTAACTTGACACGGATTAGAGTGTGCTGATAAATTATTAAAAATCGGGGGGAAACTGCGTGTTCATGACATTTTTGGTGTCAAAAATCACCCATTTTCGAGACGATTCCTTTTGAAAATGTTGCGGTTAGCAAAATAAAGAGCCTTTTCCGTTTCGACATGTCAACAATCGAAAAACCTTTAAAAGTTTACTATTAAGTACAAGTAATATCACTTACATATCTGCGCATCATTAGGTCAAACCCTCTTTCCGGCACAAATCTAACTTGAAGGTAAGAAAGGTATTCATCAAACACCACAGCACACGAGGGATCCGGGCAGTCTTCCAGCACTTTGTTCCAGGGCGATCTGTAGACCTCTGTGAGGAGTAATCTTTTATTGTTTCTGTAGTTTACACTTAACAGTTTTTAAACAAATGGGTTCAATTGTGTATTTTCAATCGGCGTTTTCAATGACCGTGAGAGAATGTTTAGGAGATATACAATATACAATAAAATCGAGAAACTAAGTCAACATTATTAAAAAATATTGCACAGTACTTTGTAGACACTTACTTTTTGGCGTAGAATGGTTTGATTCAGTGTCCACCCAAGTTAACATAAAAGCAAGTAAAGGCAGCAGCATCACGTGGTTTAAAGGATCTTATCAAAGCTATTCCAATCTACTCAAGTTGATAAGCTAGCTAGATATGGCCCAGGGTTCTGTTTAGGTACTGACGTATAGCTGATCGAGTACTGAGCAGTCATTAATACAATTCATCTGATTGTGGGGCCTGTCCACTTGTCATTTCTTGTCATTTACATCACTCATCAATCAACTGAAATTGGTTGAAGATAATTGTGACAGTGTTCCTAATTAAACAATAAACATAAGTCGATGCCTGCGGTAGAAATCCAGGCTCACATCAAAAACTGAAGCTGATAAATTTCAGAGAAAGCGAAAAGCTCGAATTGTACTGAACCTATAGTGTCAGTGATATCAAGCAAGCATATTCAAACCTAACATATGCATAAACGTGATAATTAGATTTGAACTGAGCTGTACAGTTAAACCAAAACAAGATGATAAGCCAAGACCGAGTATATTTTACAGCGACTATATTCACGACAAAGTGTTTAAAATAAAAGAGCACATAAAAGTTAGCCCGTTTAGTCTAGTACTAGTAGCTTCAACACCCACAAAGTCATCCCATGCCTTTATGTGGCACATATAATCCGCATATGTGATGGTATTTATTTGACGACAGTTTTTTGGCCCTTGTTGTGCGAGTTCAATATAATTTTGTGTGAGATGAATAGCATTACCACAAACATTATACAAGACTACTATACAAGAAGAGCACGAATTTTAACAACAACAAAATTGTCAAACTTTGTGGCTGGATTGCTCTTTCGTGAAGGATATAAACGATAAGTAAAAGTCGTGAAGAAAAACTAGATGATATATTGATGCTGCCTAATCGACATTGAATTAGTTGACAAGTACACGCGTGATGCTAGCTAGCTAGCTAGCTAGCAGTAGAAAAGGTCCTTGGCTCGGAAAGACAGCCTTTGTGAAGACAGCCTTTGTGTGCAGTGCTGAGAGATATATAGATATAAGCGTTGAGAGATATAGTAAACAGGACCAATCGCTAGTTGGGTGTCAGCAGTGAAAACTTCCTTGGATAATAAACTTTCAACAACATTAAGCATTAATTGAAATCTGTAAAAAGCAATGGAAATTAGCTTTATCGTATAACACTCGTACAGTCAATAAATGTACATTAAGGCTTAAGCAATAAGTAGCATTGCCATTAGTAACAATGATACTGATAGGAAACTAAAACACGTATAATTGCAATCGTAACAGCAAGACCATCGACAATGTTTTATTACAAATGAATAGGCACAAGATCGAATGAAAGGGCACAAGATCTGATACTTGAACTAACCCAGCACTCCACGTGGCATGACGTCACACCACGTGGCATGACGTCACACCACGTACACTCCTTGGTACAATGCTGATAATACAAAAGTAGAATGGTAATAGTAATACAATACACAATACCGCGAGGAAAGGTGTGTAAGTATTAAAGTGAGCTCCACGTGAAACCCTGCTAGTACCACCGCGAGAATCTCTTGCTGGTGGTATTGTGAGATTTAGTCGTTGTTAATTTGTATTTGTGGCAACTTATTTCAAACGATGACTGTTGTATTGACTGTTCATTTGTTCTTCTAATGAGAGACTGATCGCTATTGTTAATATGAATGCATCTGCAACGCAATGCAAATGCAAGTATGGACCAATTCAACACAAGTGATATAAACAATAAGATCATATAAAGGAGGGGCTGAGTTACTTCACACACTGTTACAATGTTATTCAGAGTGGGCGCTCAGGAGCTGTTGAATGTGGCTCTGCAGGGGAGGGAAGAAAAGCTGAAGATTTTAAAAAGACAAAGCCGCCAGCTTTTAGACAATGGATCTTCTGCTTACGTCGCCTATTAAAACTACGTAACACTAACAGTTTTCGTGATGCTATTTAATTGCTCGTGTAGGCTTTGCTGTGATAGATCATAGACATAAGGGCTAAGTTTTTTCTTTTGTCTATTCTTCTTTTTATAAGTTAAAACATATGTATAAATTCAACAAGAGCTTGAAGAAACAAACAAAAAAGTCAAACAATAGATCTATTGTATCTAATATCTATACAGTTACAAAACAAAAGTTTAATAAAGTAAAGTTACAATATCTCTCCTGCGGTAAGCAGAAAGCCTAAGTTACAATATATCAATGTCACTCCTACTGCCGTTAATTCCAGTTCCAGCTCCGAGCGGACACAATTAATTTAATGCACGTGGAAGTTGCAACTAGATATAGGTTACTACCAAGTATGAAGCAAATTAGTTATCTGCACTATAATAATTGTTTGTGTTAACTGGCGTAGCCGTAAGATTACAGTAAATCTAGAATGACTTGTTACAGGGGAGAACACGGAAATCATTTAGAATGAAGAAACAAACTTTCAGCAGACATATACCGCCGCAAATCCAATTATCATCATTGACTCTTATACCTGATGAATTGGCGGCCAGCTAACGATTTAATTGCTTGCTATACTATATACTATAGCGTATAATGGAGTGGTCTGTAGATAGAGGTTTTGAGGGTTCCAGGAAGGTAACCTGATCTTTGAAAGAGTTCCGGAGGTTTATAATTCGTGAAGTTTATGTTTGTGACCGGATATCAGCCAATAATGGGAGTTTAATAACCATTAATAAAGGCGGTGTGGTAACAGATGCTATTCTTAACACTACCACACAAACCACAAGCAGTGAGGTGCTATTAGCGTTGTGTAGCAACGCGTGCAGCACGCATCAGCCAAATATCGTATATTGTATTGGAATGCGCATGCAATTGCAAAGCAAAACACACGTACTGTATGTAAAACGTTAACTTTGCCAAATTAAAGACCAAAACAGTTAAATGAACAGTTCAATGAAAATAACTGAAGGCCGCACGTGCCAAGCTATGCATTGAAACCTTTATCATTATGTTCAATGTTGCCATTTTTACGACGGAAATAATAGGATTCATGTCAACGTATTTGCAACAAAATACCTCATTTAATAAGGCTAGTACTAGTAGGATGGTCATGAGAAACTGGACAATAGTACAATTATAGTACTAGTAGGTGCTTGCGAAACAATAGCCCATTTTTAGTGACACAACATAGAAACAGGGCCAGCAACGTAACATATCTGCTCATCATCACAACACTTCAGAGGACAGTATCAGAGGGCATCATCACAACACTTCAGAGGACACTATCAGAGGGCACTATCAGAGGGCAGTATCTTCCCAAACAAGGCAACGTAACATATCTGCTCATCATCACAACACTTCAGAGGACACTGTCACTATCAGAGGGCATCATCACAACACTTCAGAGGGCACTATCAGAGGGCACTATCAGAGGGCAGTATCTTCCCAAACAAGGCAACGTAACATCTGCTCATCATCACAACACTTCAGAGGGCACTATCAGAGGGCACTATCAGAGGGCAGTATCTTCCCAAACAAGGCAACGTAACATCTGCTCATCATCACAACACTTCAGAGGGCACTATCAGAGGGCACTATCAGAGGGCAGTATCTTCCCAAACAAGGCAACGTAACATCTGCTCATCATCACAACACTTCAGAGGACACTGTCAGAGGGCACTATCAGAGGGCATCATCACAACACTTCAGAGGACACTATCAGAGGGCACTATCAGAGGGCAGTATCTTCCCAAACAAGGCAACGTAACATCTGCTCATCATCACAACACTTCAGAGGACACTATCAGAGGGCATCATCACAACACTTCAGAGGGCACTATCTCCCCAAACAAGGCAACGTAACATATCTGCTCATCATCACAACACTTCAGAGGACACTATCAGAGGGCATCATCACAACACTTCAGAGGGCACTATCAGAGGGCACTATCAGAGGGCATCATCACAACACTTCAGAGGGCACTATCAGAGGGCATCATCACAACACTTCAGAGGACACTGTCACTATCAGAGGGCATCATCACAACACTTCAGAGGGCACTATCACTATCAGAGGGCAGTATCTTCCCAAACAAGGCAACGTAACATCTGCTCATCATCACAACACTTCAGAGGACACTATCAGAGGGCATCATCACAACACTTCAGAGGGCACTATCAGAGGGCACTATCAGAGGGCATCATCACAACACTTCAGAGGGCACTATCAGAGGGCATCATCACAACACTTCAGAGGGCACTATCAGAGGGCACTATCAGAGGGCATCATCACAACACTTCAGAGGGCACTATCAGAGGGCACTATCAGAGGGCAGTATCTTCCCAAACAAGGCAACGTAACATCTGCTCATCATCACAACACTTCAGAGGGCACTATCAGAGGGCACTATCAGAGGGCAGTATCTTCCCAAACAAGGCAACGTAACATCTGCTCATCATCACAACACTTCAGAGGGCACTATCAGAGGGCACTATCAGAGGGCAGTATCTTCCCAAACAAGGCAACGTAACATCTGCTCATCATCACAACACTTCAGAGGACACTATCAGAGGGCACTATCAGAGGGCAGTATCTTCCCAAACAAGGCAACGTAACATCTGCTCATCATCACAACACTTCAGAGGACACTATCAGAGGGCACTATCACAACACTTCAGAGGGCACTATCTCCCCAAACAAGGCAACGTAACATATCTGCTCATCATCACAACACTTCAGAGGACACTATCAGAGGGCACTATCACAACACTTCAGAGGGCACTATCAGAGGGCACTATCAGAGGGCAGTATCTTCCCAAACAAGGCAACGTAACATCTGCTCATCATCACAACACTTCAGAGGGCACTATCAGAGGGCACTATCAGAGGGCAGTATCTTCCCAAACAAGGCAACGTAACATCTGCTCATCATCACAACACTTCAGAGGACACTATCAGAGGGCACTATCACAACACTTCAGAGGGCACTATCTCCCCAAACAAGGCAACGTAACATATCTGCTCATCATCACAACACTTCAGAGGACACTGTCACTATCAGAGGGCATCATCACAACACTTCAGAGGGCACTATCAGAGGGCACTATCAGAGGGCAGTATCTTCCCAAACAAGGCAACGTAACATCTGCTCATCATCACAACACTTCAGAGGACACTGCTACTATCAGAGGGCAGTATCTTCCCAAACAAGGCAACGTAACATATCTGCTCATCATCACAACACTTCAGAGGACACTGTCACTATCAGAGGGCATCATCACAACACTTCAGAGGGCACTATCAGAGGGTACTATCAGAGGGCAGTATCTTCCCAAACAAGGCAACGTAACATCTGCTCATCATCACAACACTTCAGCGGACACTATCAGAGGGCATCATCACAACACTTCAGAGGGCACTATCAGAGGGCACTATCAGAGGGCATCATCACAACACTTCAGAGGGCACTATCAGAGGGCATCATCACAACACTTCAGAGGGCACTATCAGAGGGCACTATCAGAGGGCATCATCACAACACTTCAGAGGGCACTATCAGAGGGCATCATCACAACACTTCAGAGGGCACTATCAGATAGAGGGCACTATCAGAGGGCATCATCACAACACTTCAGAGGACACTATCACTATCAAAGGGCATCATCACAACACTTCAGAGGGCACTATCACTATCAAAGGGCATCATCACAACACTTCAGAGGACACTATCTCCCCAAACGACTTAATGAGAACTTCCACTTCTAATTACTGAGCGTTTTAGCTACTTATCTGAGCGAGTTTATACAGGGTGTTGAGCTGTTAACTGTTGCGTGCTGTGGCCGGAGTCTGGCTCTTCTGTCACGCTTGTTTAACAAGCTAACTAATAGTTTGTGGTGTAACACAGGTTACTGTGAAGCTTAACGTGGACGAAAGCTCAAGTAACTGCTGGTAGTACTGCAGTATTAACAAGTTAACAAGTACGCTTGTTAACTCACGACTATATAGTGCTGTAGGACGTTGCTGGTAATATTGAGATGTGACAGTAGCATTTTCACGGTTCTGTCAGAGCAGGAATAGTAGGGAAATAATGGGGTTGTGAGAGGTCAGAATGCGATTTACTGGGCGGCGCTCAGCCTGTCATTTCGCCTAATCTCTATTCGTTTATGAACATGATAGCCTGAGGTCCCCAGGTAAAATGCGATATGAAGGCCAAGGTTTAAATGGGACACATATAGAGAACCGTGTTTCTGTAGTATTTTGGTGGCCAAAGTATATACTTACCAGTACCTGAGGTCCCAGGCTTATAAAGTGTTCATTATAATTAACACATGATATGAGCGCCATCCAGTAACAAAGTAATTGTAGTTTACGGATGATGATTAATCACTCTACACTCGACTGTCACGTGACTTTTTCAACCCGTTCTCTAGCTGGCCCTGAACAACTATTCGAAACCCTAACCCTTTAGTCTGATCCCAACCCTAACCCTAACCCAATCCTTAACAAAAGCATATGCTGTAACCCTAAGCCTAACGAGAAATTAGACTAACTTCCTTATACGGTCATATCACGTGATCAAGACAGTTTTTCGCCAATATCTCGTCAGGAGAGCATTTTAACCCTATGTCATGGGGGGGGGGGGGGGGGGGGGGGGGGTGATTCGGAATCAGCGTCCGAAAATACATCGATTGAAGTTGGTTTTAACTGTCGGGGGCTATTTTAGAACAATCTCAAAGATCGTCTGTAGAGTGATTTAGCACGCTTGGTAGTTTACGCCTTGTATTGACCATTGTGATTGTTAATGATCTGGCCCGGCGCGCGCTACTTCGTAGCACTTGCCGTCGAGAAGAAAGCGGCGCGCGCTACTTCGAAGAAATTTAGACGAGTAACATCCGTCAACGCCTTGTATTGCAGAACATGTATTGCACTTGCAGAACATGTATTGCAGAACATGACCAATATTCTTTATGTACTGTTTTTCTATAGATCCTTAAATCAAATGCGAAGCAAATTTATATAAGAGCAAATAGCCGATTTCTTTCAGAGGGCACTTTGAAAAACAAATGTCGCGATAAATTCCCATTTAGAATCAAAAATAACGAATCCAGAACTAAATAAGTGCAGTAGAAAAATGTATAGATCTGGCAACCTGTGCCATCTGTACATTTTATTCAAATTCCAGGCATTATGAGGCGGTGGATGGGAAAATTAGTTATCCCCTTGAAGTTGAAACAGACGGAAGGTATTTAAACTTCAATATTAACTCCTGAACCATGTGGTGGTCAGCTCACTACTTATGTTCTTTATACGCTTTTTCATGACTGTTAATATCCAACAAAGCAGTTTTGTAGTGCATTTAACATCATGTTAAATGCATATTAGACCGTCTTCTTACTCTACAGCTCAGTCACGGCTGGTACACTGGTCAGCTCAGAGTTTGGATGCTAACTGAAGTTACTGCTCCGGTACTGTGTCTGCTAGTATTGGTAATTACAAAGGAGTTGCATATTCAGTCATAGGGTAATGGGGAAATTATAAGCTCCCAGTTTATGACATATGAAATGAAATAATGTGCTTATATCTCGCCCATATGGATAGCAGCAGGCACAAGTGTTGCTACACGTTGCTAGGCGCTAGTTAATAACCATGTCAGAGCAGCTCCAAACAAAGGGCAAGTGAAAAAGACTAGAAAATGAATATGACAATGTGCAATAAAACAATTTAGACAGGTTACAGTGGCATTAAAGACGGGTCTGTCCACAGTCTGCTACGGGGTAGATCACATTTTATTGTGAGATGTAAAGAATACTTATGTTTAATCAATGAACAACTATTCAAACTATTATATAGATTTTAGTATTTCCAACTAAATTGATTTCTCATGTAAATCCCTCTTTCGTTTGCATTTTATATTAGGATAAGCATTTACCCTCTCCCCCAACTAGATTCAAGACTGTTCACAACTCACAAGAAGTCAAACTTTAAGTTGACAAAAATATTCAAAGCAATAGTACAAATAAATTTACAATTCTTATATAAACAGAGATTGTTAATTAACAAGATGGTAAAATGCTCAAAATATATTCGGTTACCATGACGTTCGGTATATTATCTGAATCAGCCCCAGTCTACGTCATGGATAGACCACAAATTTAATAACGGGGTCGATTGCATATATCAAACTCGAAAAAAATTGAGTCAAAATTCAATATCTTGTAGGGTCAAGCTTCAGCAACACTCAACAGGTAAAACATTGAGTTAGAGTATATTAAAGAACAGTAAAATATTATTTGCTAAATGCATGATCAAACCCTTCAAAAACCAAAGTACAATTAATAGTAATTTTTTGAGGTTATATTATGGCATCTGCGCGCCGCACTTTGGGGTCTGGCAATGACAAAATCCTTCTGCAAAAACTAAGAATCTGATTATAAAGGGGTAACCAATCGAGAAACGTATCGATGTACAATGTTTGAGAATAATCACTCGGTAAGTCGATACCCCAAGGGTACAATTTCTACAAAATTCCGCTCCAAACATTCTGGGTTAGCAATCTTAAATGTCACCTTTGATGTCAGACTGATAAGCTAAACTCTGTGCATAATCAGGGGATGGATCACATGACACTGTCAGGTGTTGCCCGGTATTTGAGGATGAGAAGAGAACAGTCTATACCAGGCAGTCAGTCTCACGGTCAAGTCCAAACTCGCCAGGTTGATTTGAGCCTCTCCCAGGGGCTGTTTCCTGGCAAATCTTTCACGTGCCATAACGGCCATGGCTAGCACTTTGTCGTGATAAATTGCTTCGAATGAGAACTCTTCGTTATAGGTGGGACAGAGGGAGTTTTTAGCTACTTTCGAGCGTTTCTTTTGTTGTTTTCTGGTTGAGTTTGAGTCTAGAAGATATGACTTCACGTAGGTATCTGAGAGTTAGTGATGTTACCTGACTTTTTCGGGATAAAAAAGCAAAGTCATAACTTTCTGCTGCCTCTAAAAACGAATATTGGTTTAATAGCGAACGAATCATTGATATAAGTTGACAGAACATTGGACCACTTACCGACGGGTTTATCAGAAGAACGCCACCTGAGGTTCTTGGCTCTAATGACAGTAAGTTTGAGTTTCCCATCGCACACCTCCATGGAAACCTGCACGTCTCCCGTCACCTGCTGCTCTGAAAATCCTGTGTGTGAGATTTTGCGTCAGGCTCGGCATACTGACCTCTTTCAATAAAATATTTAAACTATTATCCACATACTCTAGGAGTTCAATCCAACATATATACAATAAAGTGTATTGCCAAATTAACCGCAACATAAAACAGTAAAATAAATAAATATAGAGAAAGGACGATGCTCCATTGTTTCTGTGATCACCAAATCTGAATTTCCTACTCAATCTCATACGGTGGCTAACCTGGAGGTCTCCAGAGACCAGGGTTTTGTCCGGGCCCTATCCCGATCACATCTAGAACAGTCCCCTTGTCATGGCCTTCAGGAGGGGGTCTCGTCGTCATCCTAACACAGTCGCTCTCTATTGAACTGCAGAAAGATCAGGGTAAAGAATGGAATTATGTTTACACAATATTCACAGAGAATTTAAGCGAACGATTTGAAGTTCCATACAGTTTCGGTAGCTGTTTGATTGAAAGTAGATACGGGTTAAATATTTGCTTCAGTTTTTTGTCACGGCTTACCTTTTTGTGCTACGTCTGTCTTGATACACGATATCGACCGAACTGCAGAAATTCAAGCTTACAATCTATTGCATGCGATCCCTAATTTACATCAGCCTCAACAACTATAAATCTAAATCCTGTGCAAAATACTTCCCTGTGCTCCAACTCACCTTTCCAAAATAATTCCTTGTGTTTCAACTTACCTCTTGGTGCTCCTTCGTTCGTTGATGGCTGGAATGTCGACGGTCACGTTGTCATCTATAGAAAATGTTTTACTGGAAAACAGGGAGGTAAGAGATCGGGCTCCTTGACGCTCTTTAGACTTCGTCATCTTCACCTGTAGATCCATAAGTATTTCAACAACGATAACAGATAACTAGTTGCACGAAAAAGTCTCAATATGTCCTTAACTTAACCCAGGAAAACAACAACAGAAAAAGTCATAACACTGCTTTTTAAAAATGAAAACGTAATAACAGAATTAATTTGACTTGGTTTGACCGCCTCCCCACCCTCCCCGCTCATTAAATATACGAACAAATTTACCTGATCCTCGGCTTTTTCAATGTCAGAACTCCCGGAGCTCATTTCTCCCTCACATACTGACTCTCGTTTTTTCCTCCCTGCGAAAAATACTGTTAACCAGTTAACTATGATCAGCGGCAACATGTAGTGAAGGTGCGGTAATGCTTTGTAAATAGTGCGATTCCGCACCTTCCCAATGCTGTTTTGTGTGCTGCAAATTATTTTTGTTTTTTGTTGTTGTTATACTTACGTGAAACAACAAAACAACAGTAATTAGATGGTCAGGATGACTGGAGCTAGTTGAGCTGGTAATGAGCATCATTGAGGCATAGTATTGGGGGGGGGGGGGCATAGTATTCAATATTATAACTTTACAGTTTAACATTCCAACACATTGTCTCTAATGTGTATAAGCTAACATTGCATGTGTATTCAGTATTGTGTATAACTTAAAATGTGACTGAAGTGACTAAATTTCAATCTGTTGAGGGATTGCTGGGGCAATATTTTCGAACGGTTTTATTTTTTTGATCATTTATTTTAAAAAGCATTCGCCTCTTAAATGTTGCCTCTTAAATGTTTCCTCTTAAATGTTGCCTCTTAAATGCTGCTTCTGAGCACGATAGGCCTCCTAAACTAATAAGAATAAAAGAGGTTTTTTATTAAAAATGTTCAGCCCTGACAGCATTGAGCATATTCAACATTTTATGAACAACAACTGCGTTGTTGGTTTGATCATCAGTATTATTATAAATAAATAAATTAGCATTGAACCATTGATATCGGAGTTTATTATTTTAATCTTAATGACAAGATCATCTCAGATAGCTGACAACATTGTCGTTGATGATTGCTATTGGACACTATCACCAGGAAATGATAATTTACAAGGACATCACAATACCTATCAATTAGCTCAATGCTTATCAGTGAATAGAATTAATTCTAATTAAGTAACCTGTAAGGCACTTAATGAATATTACATCATAATTAGATTAAGTATACACTAATTAACACCGAACACTAAAGAGAATTTAAGCTGGATAATCACAATTGAGAGTTGACTCCTTGTTCCGTCAATAGAGTTGCAGTTTCTCAGTTAGTGCTGAACTATAATTATTTTGATGGGGTGCTTTAGAACCTTTATATTTGTAGTCATTCTGAGTTTTGTGTACGGTTTGGAGACGATCCAAAGAACGCCTAACTTCTACGTAGACTGGGAAAATGACAGGTAAATTATATTTTAAACGGTCTCAAAACATGACCCGCACGGTTTCGCTAGGAAAGAGACCACATAACTAGGTACTTCAAATTGATTAATCGAACTTCAGATTTATATAAAGTCGTCGAGTGACGATTATGACTCTTTGCTCACGTGACTATCACGTGTTGTTCAGGTTTGTAAAGGACGGTAGCGGGTGGCAGTACGTGGCGGGAGGGTTTCACTACTTCAGAACTGTGCCGGAACAATGGGCCCGGACCATCTCCACTGCTAAATCAGCAGGTATACCAATCACGGTCCATCCACGATCTTTACTTTTTAACTCAGCAGTACACTACAGGACCAAATACTCGACAAAGGTCAGGAAATTGTCGTTGATAAACAGAATTTCCTTGTCCAAAATGTTTGTATGAGTCAGTCCTTTTTGTTTTTTTGTTCATATTTCCTAACATAGCTCCGTAAATCAGGACTAAACACAATACAGAGTTATGTGACTTGGGACAAACATGAACCTCAGAAAGGAAACTACGACTTTAGTGGAAGGATGGATATTGTCAGGTGAAATCTTTATTTTTCTGGATAGGCGGGTTTGCTACCGGGGACCCTACTTTATACATAGTACAGTTCAGAGCTTTCGTATTTTACATAGCGACAGCATAATATGATTAGATAACTAACCACACCATTTAAATTTGTGTGCTATAATCTCAAGAAATGGGCAACATTGATGGTTTATTAGGTCAGAAGGTTTGCCCACTCTAGACATTTCGAAAGTAAACAATAACCTCCGTTTCACTACAGACTGTCAACCACTCTTTATTGAAGCTACTTCAGGTTCATAGAAGAAGTTCAGAAACAAGACATGGCCCTAATCCTGAGAGTAGGGCCCTACATTTGTGCAGAAAAGAGTTTCGGAGGTCTGCCAGCCTGGCTTCTCACTGTCCCTCATATGGAGGTGAGTTAAATTATAATTTATCCTGAACTCCGAACTTTTCATAAACTAATTACATATAATTTGTGTGAACTGTTTCCTACTTTAATCATGACAATAATGAGGAACTTTCATAATCTTTGTCTGGCAAAAATATTATCTGAACTTTAACCAATTTATCGTCCTAAACCGGAAGTTTTACGTAATCATCACAACACTAGGTGAGAACCACGAACCCTGCCTTCATGTCAGCAGTAAAGGAGTGGCTGGGGGTACTGTTAAAGAAGATCCGTCCACTGCTGTATAATAATGGGGGCCCCATCATCATGGTGCAGGTCAGTGGTACTGCTCGATGTAACTTACATTTAGATCATTTTGTAATTACAGTAGTTGTCTTATTTATCTCTTTTAAATTAAAGTTAGAATTTCTTAATTTGATTACTTTTTATCAGTTTACAATCACATTTATCCACAAATACCAGAAAATGATAACAAGTGATAAACATATAATATTAATAAAAACAAATATTTTTAATATAAGTCGCGAATAGCATTATCTCGCAATGCAATGAGAGGGGGGTTTAAAACAAAAAGATACAAATCATAAGGATTAATTAAATTTTGTACAAAATTTTGTACAACCAATGATTCCAAGTAAAAATCTAAGTTCATTATAACAAAACAGTAAAGTAAGTTTAACATGCTATTGATGTTTCATAGCATCCATGATCAACTATTTGATAGTTAAACACCTCATCTTTACACCATTTTATAATTCTTCTGATAAATCATAAAATGATAGTAGTGCTTCATGTGATCACATTTCCAATTAATTAATTAGTGGACGATGACTTCGCCAGAAAATTAAAACTCCTCCAGTATCCTAAACTCCTCAGAAGTCACTGATCGGATGGCGAGCAGTTATAAGTAACAGAATTACCAGTTATAGAACCAGCCCACGGCTTCGTCTCTAAAACACACCTCGGAATAAACCCTCTGACCAGCTCCCCCACATACCTACCAAACCGCTGATTAGTCATGGTGTAGAGTATGGGGTTACAAACAGCGTTGAGTTGAATAGCGTGGAATGCTATAAGTTCTAAAAGAGGTGGCACGTTTGGGTCCTTGGTTTTCCAGATGACGTAGATAACGTAAGGGGTCCAGGTGGCGAGGAAGCATCCCGAGAGAAGACACACTGTTGTCAGGGGGTTGTTCTTCTTTTTAGGTTTCAGCCCCACCGCTACACTGCTGCTACGGAGCTGATGGGTTTGCAGGAGTCTGGTTCCTTTGGGTAGTGGAACTGCCAGCTGAATGCTCTCCTGATGTTTCCTCCTGTTTCTAGATCTCCTCTTCAGAGAAACACTGATAGCACAGAGAACAGCGTTAATAACGGTAGTACCAAGTATCGGCAACATGATGATACTCCCCAAACACAGCGTTACAACCACAGCAGCATCCTTGTTCTCATACACATCTGACACACACGCCGCGTACGTCCTCACAAACACAGCCTTGCTCTCATAGGCCAGTGCCACAGATACAGGTGCCAGAGATAACACCCAGGTGGCACCCACTATCACCCTGGCTCGGAGGAGGGTGATAGCCCTGTAGGGGTACACCACAATAAGGAGTCTGTACCCCGTGAGAGCTAGGATAGTCAGGGTGTTCACTGAGCCAGGGATGAAGGCTATAACAGCGTTCACAAAGCAGTAGCCACTACCGAGGATGTACCTGCCCGCAAGGTAGGTGATAGCACTGGGGAGGACGTTACAGATGATGTACAGGAGATCAGCTACAGCCAGGTTCTGGACCAGTAAAACAGATACTTTGTCTAGTTGTATAGCGTTGTAGCGGATGGAGGAGTAGACGACCAGAGTGTTACCAAGGAGACCGAGTGTAGTGACAAGGAGAGTGTAGGTAGCGAGGGGGACAACAGCAAGCGTGCTGAGTAGCAGGGTGTTAGTGGTGTTACTTACACCACCACCGAGTAGCAGGGTGTTAGTGGTGTTACTAACACCTCCAGCGACACTGTTAGTGGTGGGGTCTGCAGCTGACATCTTTACAAGGTCTGATCATGTGCTCTGGTGGGTTCGGGTTAGATGTTATCTTTTTTTTATTTTTTTTATTTTTTTATTTTTTTATTTATTTTTAAATATGCAACCTACTAAAACCAATGGGGCCCTCCCCGGGGTCATTACGCTCGCATTTGCGGGAGTCGTCCCAAAGGTGTGAAAGTAGGTCAAGATTTGTTCACACCAAGCCCTAGCATTGCTATTTGCTGACCATCTGCCTTCACTGAAGGTATGTTTTTAGAGAGTGGAGGCCGACCGTCAGCTTGGGATGCAGGGCCAAGTGGTCAACAACGTCAAGGCCCCCTTCCACATGGGCCATGTTGGTTTTGGCAGATACTGTGGTAATAAGATATGAAGTGAATGAGTGAAATGAAGTGATTGAAAAGGGTGTAAAAGAGGAAGAGCTTGTAAGGTAGTTTAGGAATGGAAGGAAGCAGGGCATGTACTACAAAAAACAGTTAGTAGTACTGTAAGATAGTAACAATAACCATTGATAATAAAATAACAAAGACAGCAATATAAATGGGGTGGACAATTTGCCCTAATCGGCCAAGATCGACACAATAGAACTTTTGTGGCCTATTTTGTCTCCAGTAAGTGAAAGTTTAAGAAGTTTGATATATCCCTGCCAGATCGGCATGTCCCCTGCCTGAAATCTTTTGCTAATGTACCATTTGGCAACAATATTAAAATAATTTATAATTGTTGATGTTATCTTGATTGTAAAGCACGCAAATAAGTTATCGAGCTATTGTAATCGCAATTTGAATTACTACGTCTGTACTCTGTATGTATTATGTAGGAATGAAAACGAATACAGCTGGGCTTAAGAATAAGTTAAAACATTTGTTGAGGTTGAGAAAGATGATTTGCCAGTACAGAATACCGATGTTTATCCGCTGCACTCGGCTAAAGATAAGGATAGATAGATAACGTTATCTGATGGAGTATACTCGAAACAGACTAAGCTCCCAGACATCTGGACATCAACCCATTTCAGGTTAACTTCTTATCTGCCCGTATGCGATTCAAATAGGCTGTTAATGTCGTAATCTAATCAGTTCATGAGATCTAGGTCACAGTTGATAAATTAATATTGTTGACTATTGTGTAACTTCACTAGTGAAAATTATGTCGGGTCTATCAACTGATTGGTGATAAAAAAAGCTGCACCTTTCTGGTCACAATACACTAACATCACCCACAGCAAACGGTTCAACTCAGTGACTGATGATGGGCAGATTGTAATATTTAATAGGACAATATGAGGTAATTCTAGTACAATGAGTTGCACTAATATCGTTATAATTGTGCTCGTGGACCCCAACATTAGCAGAGCATGTGGGTACCTTTAACCTTTTATAGCATGTTAGTAGCATATTGTTATAAAGTCTCTCAGCCTCAGGTTTCAGCAAGGTCAAACTACATGCATGATCAACCAATCAGATGGCTGCAATTTGACGAGAGGGTCACACCACTATAAAAGTGGGGACTGTCTCCTTGCACCCTCATGAACATTAGTCACTAAAACAACCGGTTATTGGTCACTAAATCAGCTCCATAACGTTGGGGTAGTCTAACTGTGCGTTCTGCAGCCTTGAGCCACGAGGTCCTCGGAAATAACAACAAGACAAGGCGAGTGAGAATACAGCAGATCATCCCAGCCGAATAAACTATAATAATTCCGATATTATTCAATCTTTGACATTCAGGATAATTAAGCTACATCTGAAGTAAGGGTGCAGGACTGAAGGAAGCCCCTAAATTCCCAACAATCACCGCGATCATAATGTGCTTGGTAACAGAATTATGTCGTTCATAAATTAGTAAGGATCAGGTGATGATCCTGACTTGCTGTATTCAGCATTAGTATATCAAGTAAGAGAATAATAGCAAATACAGATTACAGAACAGTTGTATTCCTCCTTACTTCACAGTAAACAGGTACTGATTTAGCGCTACATGTAGGGAACTCTTTTGTACTGAGCCAGTTAGCTCTGGTATTTCCTGTAAATACAGGATACTAAAGGAAATGTCAAGCCATAAAAAGTCTTGGCAAGATGGGTAACGAAAGCGGGCATAAATTTTAAATATGGCAAAATTTTGGAAAATAATGCAAATTATTAAATTGGTGTAAGGGAAGAGTTGACATGTCATAATTATACTACCCGACACAGATCTAGATGTAACTATTCAGTACTCAGCATGTTGCAGTTGGAAGGGAAACACACAATATTAGGCTAATAATCAGCATACTACTCGACATATAGATTTTAATTCGATATTCAGAAATTTCAGAAAGAACCATACATTAAGATCGATTAAAAAATTAAGAAGTATCGCTTAATGGGATTTGTTCTTGCGACTAATATTAATTGATCACAGTCAATAACAAAAAAGTAATAAGTTGGTTTACCGAATGGCGGGGTAAAAGGCGGGGGACGCGTGACAGCTCAGATTCGGCGTGATAAGTACTTAGTGACAGAATTTCGTGGGGAGAAGTATCAAACTTAAAATTATACTTTTAACATCGGCTACATTCGACAAATACAGAATTATTTAGATACAATAATTTCTGTAGCTCCTTTGAGAAGATACTGACCTGCCTGAACTCGGCAAGATGATTTCAAGATTTATTGCATGATTCTAGAGCAGTAGAAACCACGAATAGATTAAATCTATATTATACCGGAAGAAAATTCTTAGATCTCGTTACGAAAACTTCAATTTTCTAAGCATAATTAAAGATATCTCTCCGCAATGCGGTGTTTTAATTTCAGAGAAAAATTGAACAGCATTAAATGGAGTAGATTAGAGTAACTAACGTGAGCGACTTCATATACAGATGGGATACATAATTATTATATAATATATATTTAAACGTAAAAGTAAGTAAAGATTAACATCCACCCTCGACCTTGTTCACAGACACACTAGCCAATGACTAGTGTGTCTGAGAACGAGACTAGTAGTCACCTTTACCTTGTACAATTATGGGGTAAGCTCTCTTGAGAAATGTTTGCGTTAGTTATGTTATTTATATGAGATATTATGACGATTCTATGATAATTCATGATCTAGTTATATCTTTATATCTAGGTCGGTTTAGGGGCACATTATGTGTGATGACGAACAAAAGATATCTACACAGAGGGTTGTACTTTGTCTCATATTATATGTGATGACGAACAAAAGGTATCTACACAGAGGGTTGCACTTTGTCTCATATTATATGTGATGACGAACAAAAGATATCTACACAGAGGGTTGCACTTTGTCTCATATTATATGTGATGACGAACAAAAGATATCTACACAGAGGGTTGCACTTTGTCTCATATCCATTAAAGTCATGAAGGCATGGTTGTATATTTATATTATTACTAAGGGACCATAGTCACATCACATTTCGTAACATTGTGTGATATAAACCTAACAAGTCTACTCCTAAACCCTATAAGAGTATACTGAACCCATGAGAGTGGGTCCACGCGCCGTCGCGGTAGGCCGTAACCCTGGAAACACGAGAGCAACCCTAAGATTTCGGAGTAGGGCTCCAAATCTTTTTCGTGAACTCTCAATCACCCAATAAAACGTTCTGGAATCGTTCTTAAATTTTAGACTAACTTTTGTATTTTGGTACAGCCCAGTGTGCACCACAGTTTTTTGTAACCTTGAAGATGTGCTGTAGTACTATTGTGTACTGGGTGTATACTCATCCTCTACTGTGCTGTAATACTACTGTGCTGTAATACTATTTAGGACAATACAAACTATACTAATACTATTTAGAACTCCTTTCCCTAATAAGAGCATTTTCACTTGTCGCAACAACCGGGATAAAGATAATTTTACACAGAATACACTATTTAGGACAATACAAACCAAAATTGTTTGTCAGATATTTATAACTAAAGAGAATTATTGCCATGGCATCAAAGCGTAAGAGCCTAACGGATATTTTGATATCGAGACAATTCAAGAGTAGTTCATGCCACAAATGACGAATTCATTATTTTCATAGATGGATAATTCCTGGACACAGTAAGAAAGAACAAATATGCGCAATTTTAAATGGTAACTAAATATAACTTAAAAGGAAAATTCTCAAACGATCGGCATGGCTCACACGGAAAGGTCCTTACAACGGATTCACTCAAAGAGCTATTAAGCACTTACGAAACCTTAGTCTTTAAAAATAGCTATTAACTCTACTTAATTAACTCTACCTAATTAACTCTACCTAACTGCTTATAAAATATAGAAAAACACTGTTTAATACTTCGCTTGCCGCCCAATCAAATATTTCTAAGAGATAATTCTAATGAAAGATGTGACAGCTGATGTCGATTAGGAAGGAATAATGTAAATGTAATGACATTTAGTTCTTCATTAGAGAGTGCCGCCTTTAGAGAGTGCCGCCATTAGAGAGTGCCGCTATTAGAGAGTGCCGCATTAGCAGTTTTTACTCAAAATGATAGTTTTACCATAGTTGGTAATTGATAAAATAAATAGATGGTGATATTACTGCTAAACGGTTAAACGTAAAGTTTCTGAAGCGGTTGTGGTAGTTCCAGAAAATTTAGAATCGGCTATGAGTATGAATAAGATACGAACATATTATGGCAAAATGTAATCAGCAGTACGTGAAGAGTAACTAAAGAGAAACTAAAGAGTAACTTAAGAATAACTAAAGAGTAACTAAACAGTAACTAAACAGTAACTAAACAGTAACTAAAGAGTAACTAAACAGTAACTAAACAGTAACTATTCAGATAGAGAACGAATACGGAATATTTGGGTGTGACGGAGAATACCTCTCACAACTCTACGACATGTTCTACTCTCAGCTGGGAGACGAGGTGGTCTACTTTACTACTGACGGACCAGGAGATTACACTTGTGGATCTTACAACAACACCAAGGTAAGACGAGGTGGTCTACTTTACTACTGACGGACCAGGAGATTACACTTGTGGATCTTACAACAACACCAAGGTAAGACGAGGTGGTCTACTTTACTACTGACGGACCAGGAGATTACACTTGTGGATCTTACAACAACACCAAGGTAAGACGAGGTGGTCTACTTTACTACTGACGGACCAGGAGATTACACTTGTGGATCTTACAACAACACCAAGGTAAGACGAGGTGGTCTACTTTACTACTGACGGACCAGGAGATTACACTTGTGGATCTTACAACAACACCAAGGTAAGACGTGATACCTCTCGGAGCAGCCACAATAAGGTGATGTTCTACAACGAATTCAATGAAATTTAAAGAATTTCTCGGCAAAACATGCGGCACTTTTAGCCGGACGATTGACTATCTTGTGAGAATAATGCTGTCAAGTAGCTAGTTACAGAAGCAGGAAAATGGTCAGCAGACCCCGGCAAGTGCCGGATGTGACAACTGACGTGACAACAAGGCTCACATGAGACAAAATAACCTTAATACCCAAAATGCCGTTGCAATTGAGACGTCGCGGCAAACGATAAAGATAAGGCATCTGCGAGAGAAAACCTTAGGAAATGTTTGTGGAATCAGTCACATACTTTGAACAATTATTAACGTAGACAAGTGGTATTTTAAAAAATTATTTGCTGAGGCTTGTGATTGTTGACCGAAATGTTTGGATTGTCTATAATCGAACCCTATCCCAAAGCCAAAGTCAGTCAGAAATTAGAAGTAAATTTGCATTAGAAACGCTCAGTAAGTTGTGGGCGCCGTTTCAAATTAAATAGCAAAATTCACACGTTTAAGAGTTTAAGTGATATGAATCAGTGCTGTTGAACAAAGTTGGACAAACAATCGTTCTAAAAAAGAAACCTTGACACTACATAGGCTGAGATATTTAAAAATTGTCATTTAAAATATTTAAACTTTGATAATATAAAGTGAGAAACGGCATTTTGATGACAATAGTATCTTCTACGGCCTTAACCCACTTTTATTATTTGCCGTTTTGCCGAAATGCATTTTTAAACCAATCCTTAACTCTACCCATCCCACAGGTACTGACAACAATAGACTACCTGGAGGATAACGACAAGGGCCAGTTCACGGAGCAGTACTTCCAGGACCTCAGAGAGTTCCAGCCCCGGGGCCCTCTGGTTAACTCGGAGTATTACACAGGATGGCTCGACAAGTGGGGCTCCCCCCACAAGACTAGATGTAAGTTTATGTTAAATAAAAGCTTAATAAAAGTTTAAGCAAAAAAATAAAGTTAAATAAGAGCTAAATAAAGCTGCAAGTAGAAACTTAACAAAGAATGTACCTGTTAGAGCGAATAGAGCGGACAGATTACTGGATAGTAATGTGACAAATCACTAGATTATGTTATGATCCCTTCTTGACTCTGGCTAAATTTAGAAACCCAAACTTTTGGACCCGCACATTACAGCGTAATAAATAGCAGAAGAGTCAGACTTAGGATCAGTAGGACCGGAGACGGACGAGTAATGTAACATGTTTCATAGCCAATCAGAGAGCTTGATGCTGGTCACGTGATTACCAACAAGCTTTCTGTTATATTATATACTAACACCCTAACATGTTATTAGAGCAATATATTTTAGTCTGTGTATATTTCACGAGCCGGATTATCGGATATATTACCTGGGTATTATAAGGGGGGAGGCTTTGTCAATAATGAACTTCAGACACTATGTCAACCACTTTAGTTACAGAGGGTCTATATTACAGTATGCGACATACTAAATTCCTATGGTACCAGTTTACTGCTCGTCAAGACAATGAAAATTAATGTGGTTACAGACAGGAATGGCCGGTCCAATTCTAGCCAGATGCACTCAAGTCTGAGTGAGATGATGGTAAACCGAGGCAAGCTATTAAGAGATATACCGAAAAGCAGGCTGACTATCAAACTACCCACGATTCTACCTGATCATTCAACTGATACATACCGCACATATTTAACGGTGGAGACTTTCAACCTCCTTCCCCAATACGGACTGTTCAACTTCACAAGTGACTATCGTAACATGACAAGTTCCGAGTGTTTTATCCCTCGACCAAAAAGTTAACCTTGCATCTGAACATAACCAAGCACAACCAAAACCCCTACGAGCACCTAATAATTCCAATTAAATATCTAATCCATAATTCAATAATGTATGTCAAGGTAAGTCAAGGATGCCAGAAAATCTCGGCTTCTATTTAAGTATTCGAGATAGTTGTAGCTCACGCTGTCGTATAGTTGTCATGGTAGGGGGGGGGGGGGGGCCAACGCCCCAAAAGGCCCCGATTTCGAGGGCCCTTTTTGAATTTTCGATATGTGTAGGGCCTTTTGGGGCCCTAGAATTAACTTCAATTTCATCAAGTTTGATATATAATGCTAAGTGCTTTAATGATACTAGCAGGAACCCGTATTACTCTAAAGTGGTGTCAAGACTCAAGAGACTAAAATAATTATTACCTATTTAATTCGCGTTTTTGACACCACTTGGGGGTCCAAATTTTGGGCACTAAAATAATTATTCCTTGGCCAATTTTTTATTTTTTCATAAAAGCATTTGACTCAGTCAAAAAAATTTCAGTTGTATATCTTTTACGGTTTTTGCGGAAAGTTGCTTTAAAGTTGATGCCGTGGTGTCAGTAAAATGGCACAGATAAATATATATATATCGTCTCGCTTTATATATAGTAAGATTATCTGACTACTTGCACAGTACTTTTATGTTTATTTGAGTGTATTTACATGGAGATTATGGTCCATAAACACTATCAAATAGTGGTCAGGGTCAAAAGGCCCCAAAAGGCCCCGATTTCTAGGGCCCTTTTCGGATTTTCGATATGTGTGGGGCCTTTTGGGGCGTTGGCCCCCCCCCCCCCCCATGGTAGCTAGTTGCGATGGTAGCTAGTTGTCATGGTAGCTAGCCGACTTGGAAACCCCATGATCCGAGCACCACATATGTAAGTCCCTAACAACCCAATATCCTGGCAGCGGCAGTGACTCTAAAAGAAGGAATAAGGAAGCTGCTGTCACTTGACGCCAATCTGGCGCTGTTCGTCTGGCACGGCGGCAGCAACTTCGGGCTGGATGGCTCTGACTACACCGCCACCTCCACCTACGACTACGACGCTCCCATTTCTGAGTCAGGTGAGACACTGTTGTCATGACAACCATGGTTTGTAACAGTCGTAACCATGGCGACCTCAAAAAGGTATCAGGTCTTGTTACTAGATCAGACCTGATAATATTCATTATAACTGCCAGGCGGTTTATTTAGTTCACATAACCACCTAGCTAGTACTCACAAAATAACATACAGTCATCCTGGCAGTCATCCTGGCAGTCATCCTGGCAGTCATCCTGGCAGTCATCCTGGCAGTCATCCTGGCAGGAATGACTCAGTCGCTCTTCCGGAATACTGCTGGCTGGGTTTCCAACACAACAAGACACATTATTAAACTACCTTATCCTCAGGTGACATAAACCCAGACAAATACTGGGCTGTAAGAGATGCCATCGACCAGTTCTTTCCCGGAAACCTACTTCCGGTTCCCGAAAACATTCCAAAACTTAGCGGGAAAACTGTTCATCTCGCCCAGAGAGGGAGTCTTATTGACTTGGTGTCGAGTGAGAATTTCATTGTCTACAATAGATATCCCTTGAAAATGGAGGAAATGGGTACGAATTCTTAGTTTCCTTATATATTAAAGTTTACAGTTTTAGGAATCGGCAAGTTGATACAGATAATGAATAAATTTGAAGGAATGATTGGGTACCAACACTTTGTGTGATATACCAACTATTTCAGATGAATTTGAAGGAATGATAGGGTAACCACACGTCTTTGTGTGATATACCAACTATTTCAGATGAATTTGAAGGAATGATAGGGTACCAACACTTTGTGTGATATACCAACTATTTCAGATGAATTTGAAGGAATGATAGGGTACCAACACTTTGTGTGATATACCAACTATTTCAGATGAATTTGAAGGAATGATAGGGTACCAACACTTTGTGTGATATACCAACTATTTCAGATGAATTTGAAGGAATGATAGGGTACCAACACTTTGTGTGATATACCAACTATTTCAGATGAATTTGAAGGAATGATAGGGTACCAACACTTTGTGTGATATACCAACTATTTCAGATGAATTTGAAGGAATGATAGGGTACCAACACTTTGTGTGATATACCAACTATTTCAGATGAATTTGAAGGAATGATAGGGTACCAACACTTTGTGTGATATACCAACTATTTCAGATGAATTTGAAGGAATGATAGGGTACCAACACTTTGTGTGATATACCAACTATTTCAGATGAATTTGAAGGAATGATAGGGTACCAACAGTCAACACTTTGTGTAATATACCAACTATTTCAGATGAATTTGAAGGAATGATAGGGTACCAACACTTTGTGTGATATACCAACTATTTCAGATGAATTTGAAGGAATGATAGGGTACCAACACTTTGTGTGATATACCAACTATTTCAGATGAATTTGAAGGAATGATAGGGTATCAACACGAGTTAACAACCCCACTTGTTGACGCTCAGTTACAGCTACACGGTTTACATGACAGGGCTTACGTTCTGGTGGACGGACAGTTCGTTCAGGTACAAACTTTTAATACTTAGATGAGAAAAAGTAAATGTTCCACATGTACACTGTACAGCTATCATAAAACTTTTAACACCTCGTTTATCAATCACCAGCTTGCAAGATGCTTTTCTATTTCGAGACCAGGTTGTAATATGTAGAATCAGGAGTTGTCAGAACTGTTGCATAATGTAATCATTAAATATCATCATTCCTTAATCTTATTCTTTGTAGACAAAAAAAGACGACACGTGTGACGTGTCATTTATTTTGTTACGCGAGAGCGATTAACAAGTTAACTTATCAAGTCTTATACTTGACAATTTTATAAATATCTCCGGGATTTCGACGCGGGATCATATTATCACTCAGCCCGGCCCGCTGTTAGATAAACATCTCAAGGTGATATCATCCCGCCCCGGAAATTTGTATAAACCCGGCCCGCTTTTTAGTCGTAACTGATGTTTATCATTCAATTCTCCTACTTACAATAATCAATGATACTGCTGATTAGAACTCGATAATACTATAATAGTAGAACAGTTAGACGCGCGATCACGTGGGCGCGTCACGTGCGTACCACGTGCCACCAATAGCATACGCCGAGTCTATACCACGTGACACCAAAGCGCACCACGTGATATGAAACATCGTAACCGTCCACTTCTTTTACACGCAAATTCCTGGGAACGTTGCCAAAGCAGCTAATTCTTGGAATTTCTCCAACGCGTGGCGTGAGAAGTTGGCGACTAGCCAGCTACCCTTGTCCGTGCCCTAAAAATAGTATTGTTTTGCTTGCTCTCCTTCCAGCTCTTGTTCCTGCTAACGTTCAAGCTATTGCTCCACTATGACAGATCGGTTTGACATTCAGATTGATGAACTGCTTTCCAATCGTGTTCCGGACAGTACAGTTAGAGTCAACAACTGGGCTCTAAACGTTATCGTATCACTTGTTATCACCATCACAAATAGAAATGAAAATATTACTAAAATCAGACCCGTATTCCGAAATAAAAACTATTTTATCACTAGCTCTTCTAAAGTATAAATCCCTTGTCGAAATCGCCGGAGATAATTATAATCCATAAACACTTCACGCTCAGGGCTAAATAAATGTAATCCCTCAGCTGGCGCTTCGGGATTACATATTAACACAAAACTCGTGCGCTGCGCGCACTCGTATGTGTTTATCAGATCATCCCGCTAGCGCGGGATGATCTGTTATATAAACCCTTTGCGTGGCGGGTTTATGTTATTATAAAACCACTAGTGTAACCCGTGCCTTCGGCCGGGAATTTACTGTCACAGTTGCAATGTAAAAGTATACAACCGCATTATATATTTGATATCACGCATAATGCTGTCTTATGAAAGTATGAAATCTCCCTACAGTTAAAACAAAGCGGCCGCAAGAGTGAGCTGTGATATTACGTGGGGCTAAACTAATTACGGTACATGTTATCCTCCTCGTTCTCTCTCCCATCCATTTATGTCACATTTCTGGAACAAAATCATCAATTAAACCACTTACCACCGGCCGATTTTTATAAAATTTTCTTATGGGCTTCATCAGAGTTTTGTCGGCACTATACCGAAAAAACCAGTCCCGTAACTATTACCGTTTTTTTTGTATAACTGTTCGGAAATTACACACAGACACACAGACACACAGACACACAGACACACACACATTCTGGTCTTATTAAGTTGATATACAGACTCACAGACTGTTACCAATACACCCAGGTTGTGAGAAGAGAGGAAGAGACAAGTTTCCCAGTGACAGCTCGATCTACCATAACCATACTGGTTGAGAACATGGGATACATGGCCTGGCTCAGCCAAGGTCTTGGCGACTACTCAAATGAATACAAAGGTAAGGGACCGTGATGAAATCAAGTTTTTATTTTATTTTTCTATTATAAAACCAGTAGGTATCGCATATTAATAACGAGGGTCAAGTAATTGCAACGATGCTTATCTTGGTATGTAACTCAAGGATGTAAAAATCAAGAAATATCAAAATAGCCTGTACTGATAATGAACCAACTGATAAGATTTGTTAAGTGGCGTTGTCTGACACGAAGTATTTAAAACAGGTATGAAGAATGTGACAGTAAACGGAGAGATTCTCGAAAAGTGGAAACATTACAAAATGGAAACCAGCCGATTACGAACTACACGTGATGCCCATATAAGGAGTGATGATATCACCAGAAACCATGACGTCACCGGTCCAGAATATCCCCAAAACAGTACTCAAGTACGACATTGGTACAACGAGAAACCCTTGCTGAATAAAGGACCAACTGCATTTTCTGGTTAGTTCTAATATGAGAGTGGCGGTGTTTCGTAGACTGTAAGAAGCACAGTATGATTGAATGAATTTACAACCTAGCAAATAGTACAAATAGTACAAATAGTTACAAATTTGGTTACAACCTAGCCCTGCTACAATATGTTAAACATGAAGTTAAACTGTGCGGTGGAATGTTTCTAGGAACTCTTAGACTATGTTTAATCTTACAATTCGATTTTAGCTTTACGGAGTTTTAAGGAGTTTAAATTTTGCTAAGCTATCCTGCCCTCACACTAAACAATACATCAGGCGAGTTAGAGCTTACACTAAACAATACATCAGGGGAGTTAGAGCTCACACTAAACAATACATCAGGGGAGTTAGAGCTCACACTAAACAATACATCAGGGGAGTTAGAGCTCACACTAAACACTACATCAGGCGAGTTAGAGCTCACACTAAACACTACATCAGGCGAGTTAGAGCTCACACTAAACAATACATCAGGGGAGTTAGAGCTCACACTAAACAATACATCAGGGGAGTTAGAGCTCACACTAAACAATACATCAGGCGAGTTAGAGCTCACACTAAACAATACATCAGGGGAGTTAGAGCTCACACTAAACAATACATCAGGGGAGTTAGAGCTCACACTAAACAATACATCAGGGGAGTTAGAGCTCACACTAAACAATACATCAGGCGAGTTAGAGCTCACACTAAACAATACATCAGGGGAGTTAGAGCTGACACTAAACAATACATCAGGGGAGTTAGAGCTCACACTAAACAATACATCAGGCGAGTTAGAGCTGACACTAAACAATACATCAGGGGAGTTAGAGCTCACACTAAACAATACATCAGGGGAGTTAGAGCTCACACTAAACAATACATCAGGTGAGTTAGAGCTCACACTAAACAATACATCAGGGGAGTTAGAGCTCACACTAAACAATACATCAGGTGAGTTAGAGCTCACACTAAACAATACATCAGGCGAGTTAGAGCTCACACTTAACAATACATCAGGCGAGTTAGAGCTCACACTAAACAATACATCAAGCGAGTTAGAGCTGACATCTAGCGAGCTGCTGGACACGTTTGTGGACTCCAGTTGCTGGAGCAAGGGGTTCCTGGTTGTGAACGGGCACTTGGTGGGCAGATACTGGCCGGAGGCTGGCCCACAGTACACCTTGTTTGTTCCAGGTAATTGGTAATTTAGGTGGAAAACATTAAACTGCGAGGAAATTTAAAACTTTCTGGGTGTGGGTAAGCTGTTGGCTTACTCAAAGTACTATGACTACTTCGGCGGAAAAGGACCTAGTTGTCGCCAAACGCTGATGAAATGTGTTCAGAAATTTTCATATTTGAAAATGGGACAGAAATTGGAAAATATGAATTTTCGTTTTGTTAAGCTTTCTGCTGTGAATTTCCTCCTAGATTTGTATTCCATGTATTTTCTACTCAAATGGCATTACCAAGTGGCTCCGCAGGAAACATTTAAGGTTGGCAGAATTGACAGTCAAGAACCTACCAATTTTACCAAGTAAAATAATTAACCTGCTAGGTTGCAGCATTTCAATCAATCAGTTTAGTCTTCCTCTCAGTGGTCGGTCCCAAAATATAGCATATTTCGCGCAACCTGCTGCAATATTCCCCACCATCACCAAGTCCAGAATTTTAGTCCACCAATCGTATCAAAAGTGACACTTTCACTTTCAGGTGTATTTCTAAGGGAGGGAGGCAATACGTTTACAATGGTGGAGCTACAGAGTGTCTGCCAGAAACTCACCCTCACCCTTACCAACGAACACATTATTGACGGGCCCGTTAACGGTGATTTGATTTAATCAAAGAAGATAATTGTTGATCAGGAAAAGTTCAGGAAGTTGAGAGGAAAGTTTGTCATGATTGACACTACTGATAGAAGATAGAAGAGTGATATTCGAACAAAGTTTGCAAATACGGATTTCAAATGACACGAACATTGAAAGTTACATTCATGAAGATTGTCAGACGTCAATGAATGGATTAACGATTAAAAATATAATGATTCAGAAGTGAATCTTGATTGGTTTTGTTCCGTCTCAAAATGGAACTTATACACATATTTTTATTCTTAAAATAGTTAAAACATTTGACGTGTCTCACTATTTATTAGCTACTTCACCACCTGGAGGGAACAATATCAATTCTAAAGCCGGAATATTTTTCGTTCAGTCTAAAAATCTAATAATTCGAACATATTAAGCGAATTATTGTTCACCTGATTTGGGAGTAAATAGTTTTCTGAAGATCTGCAGCGGAGAGAGGGCTTTATGTCCACTGACCTCCAGTCCCTTATCATGGTGCGATACTTTGCAAGCCTCGCCAGCCCCGTCACTTGACTTCCTGTTATAAGAAGTTGATATTATAGCAGAATATTGATAACCTGTTTTGCTGAATATCATGGTGATGGAATAGTAAATGTCAAAAATTTGATAAATCATATTGGCGTTTTCAATAACATCTCGTGGTATTGTTTCTAAGTTTTGTCCATAGAACAAATAGCTAAACTAGACTAATACTTAAGTTAATTGTGCTAATTAATCAGTACTATAATAGGTTCACAAAATTTATAAAATAAGTAAGTTATGTACCGATCACCATTGCTACTGTCATCGAGCTGCTTGACGGAGTTTTCTTGGGAACTCTCCACTGATTGGGCGGACAGGATGGGCTCGAGAGGCTGATGGTGCTGCAACCCCGCAATACCTTCGGGAATGTACCTCTCTTAAACTGGTTTAAATGATTCTAGTAAACCTGCTTAACAAGTTGGTGTGATGACGTTTGCAAATGAGAAATGTTTAGTAACTTACTGGTTGACTGCATGAACTCTGCGACGTCCAGAGGTTGCGTGACTAATGCACCTTGGGAGCAGTAAGGTCTGATATGGATTGAGGGGAGACTGCCCTGAGAAATATAGAACTATAAGAGATTTTTCATATGGTTTGCTGGAAAATCTCAACAATTTAGGTACTTTCCATACGTTGAGACACCCGTTTGATCCATGATGTTAATGCTAAGTGGCCTAAAATAAAGGAGCATTAATATTATTGAGTATATAAACGTGATGAAGACCAATACCTGGGAGGACATGCTGAGGCGTCTGGACCTGTAACCGAAGTCGGGGAGGGGATCGAAGGATTTAGATAAACGGGGAGCCATCCTTGGCGACAAATCTGGAACTAGCTTTAGTTTCCCTGAGAGGCGGACTATCAGATGGTTTAATTGATTAGTAAATAGTTAAGTTATTAGTTCTGTAGAATCAGCCAACATTTAGCAGCTGACAAGTTAGGTTAATTTTAGGTTATTAAGGATTCTAAAAAACTCCCAGTCAAAGGGTGTTGAAATAAGAAAATTGCCCTGAGGTATTTGTCATGGTAACGTGGAAAATTAGTTTCCGGAAATAAAATAGCGAATGTTGGAACACTTATGAAAATACATGTTCAACTGTTATGCGATAACAACGCTGCAACGCGTTGGAATAAGTCGAACATGTGATTTGGAAGCGCGCATCATTAACTGTCAATGTGCCGCGCGCGACAACAAATTTCTACTAGTACATCAGAAGATTGTCTTCGCGGCTTCCATTTAACAGTGAAATGTTTTTACAGCACCAGAAGGACTTTCGGCGAATCGGTTTCAAATGAAAAGAGTGTTTTAGAGTTTTAGTGAATAACTTAGAATATATTTTTGATTTTCTCAAGATCTGACTGATAGATTTTCTTTAAACTTTCCAGATAGTTAGATATGACGGATAATGTGTGAGAGTTTGGGAGAATTTATGTGTGCCAAACTTGAGATGTAACTTCAAAAAAAAGAAAATATCCCAAATTGGCGGTTCGTAGCGGAACGCAGGCATATAACTCGAGATTTGAATATACGAGTTTCTTTAAACTTTTCAGATAGTTATAATATCATAAGACGGATAATTTGTGCAAGTTTGGGCAAATTTTTATTTGCCAAATTTGAGATACCCATTTGGAGATATTTTCTTGTGTTTGAAGTGATATCTGAAATGGAACATAGAAATTCGCCCAAACTAGCACAGATTTTCTGTCTTATGACCATAATACTATCTGGAAAGTTTCAAAAAAATCGTATATTTGGATTTTGAGATAATCGACTTTCGTCAAATATTGTTCCGCGGAACAAGTGGAACGGAAAGTCCAACTCTACAGCAAAATATGCTCCTCATAAGTTGTCAAATACAGCTTCATTCTTTAGACTTCATAAAGATTTTTGAAAGTCAAGCTTGCTTTGTTTAATCTTGCCATAAAAACATTAATGACAGGAGAGCGGATACTTACTACATGAAAATGTATCATTTGACTTGGAACCAGAGTATCAATGATAATAGTTTAATTCTTTTTTGTTGGTGAATACCTCGAATAATCGACATAATAAATCCTGCCTCCAAGAATCCTTCAAGCTTTTCTGACGCGGTAAACACTCACTATAAATGGTTGAAACTATTTAACCCCTAAAACTATAAAACTATAAAAAGAACTCATCAGGAATAAGATACTAACTTAACCATTTTATTTCGAGTTTTAATATCAGTTTATAATAGGTTGCTGGAGGTGTTTAACGTCGCTCGAACAACTGCTTTCTTGCTATTTGCCCAATAAACAAGCAGAACGCTGCTACCCTTGGCAATATCATTCAGACAAAGTTATAATATTGATTATAAGTGGAAAGCCGGAAAGGTTACGTGGACCTCAGCAACCTCAGATACGTGCATCTTTACGTTAACCACAGTACAGACTTCCAGGATCCAGAGACACATACCAACAGCATATATAGGGGACTTGGACACATACCTACAGCATATAATATAGGGGACTTGGACTCACGCCAAACACCATGCTGGAATCAGACTGGGTGGTCGGAGATCGGCAGATTCCCTTGATCCCCTGATCCGGTTTCTTCTGTTGTAGTTGGATCGAGAGGATCAAGCATACGATAATTTAATACTGTCAGTATCCGATCGAAATACCAATTGAAGTTCCCATTGAGACGTCAATCGGGTGCAAGAAATACCATATTAAGATTAAGATGATGCAATAATTAAGGCTCCTCATAACACGTCACACACATATCACGGCTAGTTTAACAGGTAGTCAGGATCTGGAAGTAGTTTAAGTGATAGTTTAGTTGGAGACGTTGTTATTATTAATAAACGCGGTCTCCAACACGACCACGTGTACTCTATTTTACGTAATGCCTCCCCCCATTACTAAGCACTGAGCTGGTGGAGTGTGTGTAACCATTATGGTGCGTTTTAAAGGCTGTAACCACTGGGCAACTTAACCGTTTATAGTTGTACTTCTCGCTTCGGTTCACCCAGCATGTATCTAATTGCCATGATTTACACTATTATAGTATTTTAAGGGCAGGGGTCCCCTGTTAAGTTGCAATTTAAAATTTGTGTAAATTGAAAACTTGCGCCATTACAGCTGTATGCTGTAATTAATGACAAGCTTACCTTGTATGAGGTTAAGTTTAAGAGTTGCTTACAGGTGTAAAATTTAATCCTCCAGAATCAACCAGAACATTTAATCTCTTAAAATGTCACTGAAAGTTTAATTCGACCGTTTACTGTGATATTGCAATGGTTACCGCATTACTGAGTAGATTTTAAATTAAAAATCCAGTTGCAATATTTTAATATCAAAATATATAGGTTCCAAGGATTAAATATTGTTTGTTGACAAAAACTCTTCGAATTAACTACCTTTCTAACGAAATAGCACCGTCAAATTGCTTCCTAAAGCCATTAGATAAGATGCTACAATCTACATATTATTACACACTCTACTAAGTACTCATTTGTCAAATTTAAATTAACAGTGTGTCTGTGCAGATATCGCTCTGACAGCTGATATTTCACACAGCTATTTAACAGGAGAGGTAATATTGCATTCAAGTACAATTTTCAATCACCCCGGTGACCTTTTTAGTGGTAAATATAGCAAATATAATCACCCCCGTCGCCTGCGCGCACTTCCAGAAGTGTTTAAATACACCTCAAATTAAAGATTGTCCACTTACCTAGATGTGACTAAAATTTGATGGATCACGCACACGATATTACTATATAAGTAATGAGACAGGAGAATGATATATACGGTGATTTGCCACCACAGTAATACTTTGTGACAAGTTCTCTCCCTCTGTCCCTCCCTCCCTCCCTCCCTCTGTCCCTCTCTCCCCCTCCCTCTCTCCCTCTCTCCCTCCCTCCCTCCCTCCCTCCCTCCCTCCCTCCCTCCCTCCCTCCCTCCCTCCCCCCCCCTCTCTCTCCCCCCTCCCTCCCTCCCTCCCTCTCTCTCTCCCCCCCCCTCTCTCTCCCCCCTCTCTCTCTCTCTCTCTCTCTCTCTCTCTCTCTCTCTCTCTCTCTCTCTCTCTCTCTCTCTCTCTCTCTCTCTCTCTCTCTCTCTCTCTCTCTCTCTCTCTCCTCTCTCTCTCTCTCTCTCTCTCTCTCTCTCTCTCTCTCTCTCTCTCTCTCTCTCTCTCTCTCTCTCTCTCTCTCTCTCTCTCTCTCTCTCTCTCTCTCTCTCTCTCTCTCTCTCTCTCTCTCTCTCTCTCTCTCTCTCTCTCTCTCTCTCTCTCTCTCTCTCTCTCTCTCTGTGGAACTAAGATCTGGTCGCTAAGCTGGATATTATTATATGTCACACTTGAAAGTGTAAAAACGCCCTTAAAAGGACTGATCAGTGGAGCTGTCACAGGGGCATCTAAATCTACGAGCCAATATAGACAGATCTAACTACACGGGGGGCTAATTTTCCTTCAAATGAAATGCAAATTTGGTGTCGTGATTCAAGTTTCTCTGTGGGATCCGTCTGTAAATTGCGTCACGTATATTATATAGACAGCACAGGCAACAGATGACAGAATGCCTGTCAAACATTCAGATATTGCATGGATTATGTCATTTTTGGGAGACCATTCGAATGTCAAGAATGTTGGCTTAATCAAGAAAATGTTTTTTCTCCGTTGGAAGATATTATGGTCTATGAAAGCAGTACGTGAGGCCTAGTTATCTGCTTGGGTCATAGTTTTTATCATGATAACGAAACTGTAGTTGCTGTACATCTCAATACTCAAATCATACCAACGATTATATGACATTCATAAAGTTGTGACTCTTTACTTTCCAGCTGTAATAACAGTAACAAATTACCCCAGACACAAAACATCTTATCCATATAACTCAATTTCATGTGTCCGATTTAACAGTTCGGGGAAAATGAGAGTATTAGTTATCTTTGATAACTAGGAAAATCACCGTGTTTAGATTAGTTTCTATTTTACTGTTTCAACCATTGACCAGGGCAGAGAAAACAAAATTCTTATCCATTAAAAAGCAACTTTTGTTTTGATCGAGAAGTTTACATCTCTCCCCTCACTCCAGACAGAGATTGCAGTACCGAGCATCACCGGAGCTTCTGCATCACGCCCCCCCCCCCCCCCCCCCCCCCCCCCCCCCCCCCCCCCCCCCCCCCCCCCCCCCCCCCCCCCCCCCCCCCGCATCACCTACAGTTAACCAAAAGAGTATTCAAATTCGCGTGTGTCTTGGAGAACGAGAAGTGGTTCAAAACAATTTATAAGATGTATGTGAGATTCGAATTCTAATATTCTACAGTACGATAATCTCAAAGTGCAGCAGGATCAGAATTATCTGACTTTTTACGAGCTCTGATTACTAATTTCTGACTACTCGCCCCCAATAGCAACTGTTAACAAGTTAAATGATTATGCCACTGCTCCTATACTGGAAGTGTAATCAGCCAGATTTAAAACCAGAATAGTTGATATTAAAGTTGGAACTGTTTAATTAAAACCAGCTCCCACGTAATGCTCCGATTTGTTATAGTTTACACGTCCAAGATCAGGAAAAGTGCCAATTAAATTATGCTCGGCTTCTTTAATTAAGGAACTCTCAAAACCTCTCAACTCTGCTATTAATAGATTCCCTAGAAATTTTGATAAATACCTACCGATATAAATAGATTGCCACAAATAATAATACCACAAGGCACAGACAGTTCAGTTGATTGGTCCCTTAAACCCGAATATAATAATAATAAGAGCTTCTGAATTTGCGTGAGAAACAACGAATTGCTTTTTATTTGTAGATAGTTTGCAATCTAGGACGCACACTGCACGCGACGCAAATAGGCAAAATATGGCAAGAATGATATCAAATGATCATTGATCAAGGATGGTTTATTCGATTTTTGCTAAGAATGTGTTCTAAGAATAACTGATTTAGTTTTAAATGTAAAGTTAAACTTTAAAAACCTTTGCTTAAGTTAATCAGAAGCGAAGATAATAAATGACAACATTGATAATGATAAGCTAATACAATCAACGCAATGCCAAGTTGATCTCTACAATGTAATAATGGCACACTAGACACAATCTAAAATATGACAAGAAGGATTGACACAAAAAGTTTAGCAGCTGGCATCCTTTTGGCTTTTATTGTATTAATTTATGATATAATCTATCATAAATCATATGTTATACTACATATTATATTGCACATAAATTATATGTAATACTACATATTATATTCCACATAAATTATATGTAATATTACATATTATATTCCACATAAATTATATGTAATACTACATATTATATTCCACATAAATTATATGTAATACTACATATTATATTCCACATAAATTATATGTAATACTACATAATATATTGCACATTATTTGCAAACCTTCAGAATAACAAGGCCGGGTTAGGGGCTGGGGTTTAGGGGAGGCTGGTAGACAGCTTGTAGACTTTGATACTGGACCAATCTGGAATGTGAGGAATGCTAGATATTTGGAAAAAAAGTAACAAGAATTATAGGAATAGGCAATTCAAATTTAGAGTAAACCTCTAAAAACACAATATGTTTTAAAACCTTCATTGCATACTTTACCGGTAGATTCTAAATTGAATAGTTTGGGATTTCCATTACATTTTATATTTATGCATGTGCCCCACGGGGATGAATTTCTTATTACCATTGATATTGTAAATATATTTCGTTGAGTAAACATTGGCTGGTACCACGGGCCAGTCCCCAACAAAAAATCTCTATAATGGTACATATAATGTATGTGTGAGCTGCTATCGAGTGCTTTAGTAATTAACTAATATACAAAATTACGACTGGAAGGAGTAACGTGTTGAGACTAATTGACTCAGGTACTCACTAAATAGTCTCATTCCTTACCCCGGGTTTAATTGAGTAGGCGGGAGAGAGAAGATCCCGAGATGACTTGAAGTCTGAGAGATCGTGCCACCGAGCTATACCATCACACACATCCAGTGTCAGGAATATTATCGCCTAGTAAATTATAATGGCGTTAATTGTTATACATATAACAGGGGTATCGAACATTTAACCTTTAATCTTTATGATGTCCACTGCTCAGATTTGGGAGATTAATAAACATCAGAGTATCAAAAGTCGCGCGCCCAAGTTTGGTTTATTGGTTACGCATCATGCTTTTACACGTGTGATAAGGTTCACTTCTGAGCACGTGTCACGTGGTGCGCTGCACGTGTCACGTGGTGCGCTGCACGTGTCACGTGGTGCACTGCACGTGACAAGTGGTGCGCTGCACGTGTCACGTGGTGCGCTGCACGTGTCACGTGGTGCGCTGCACGTGACACGTGGTGCGCTGCACGTGACATGAAACACTTGATGTCATACAGTCATGAACCCTGATAACAAAAAGTCCACTGATAATATCAGCTGATTTGTTACTGATTTCTTGTTACCAATTAATTACTAAATTAAATTGAGTATTGTTATTCACAAGACTATGTTGGTAGTGTTCATTGTGTCTGATACTATAGACGGTCACCATGGTGATATCTATCATCCTAATTAATAAAGCTAATTAATAAAGCTAATTAAACTTAAATGGGTTCTTACCTGTCCCATAAAAGAACTGCAGGAGAACCTATCGTAGTGAAGTGCTATGATCTCCAAATAGTGGTTCT